GTGAAATGCCATGCATCTTAGAGAAGACTAATCGTCTCATTGACAAATACACGAACGGACTCAGTTTACCCTTGGATACATCACAGGTGATGGATACAGAGTCATCAAGTACCACTTCTTCAAGACGTAATGAGTTGTTCACATTGTCTTTCAAGTGTCTTCATCCGTCGCCTGCAACTTTGCCATTTCTGCTAGGTCAATATGGTCACGTTCTAAGACGTTTACGTACATACGAGACAAAGCATCAGCTGCCTCATTTTTGCTGCCTTTGATATACCTTATATCTGAAGTGAATTGTGAAATAAATTCTAAATGTCGAATTTCTCGGGGCGAGTAGTTGTCATGCTTTACGTCAATTGCTTTTGTGAGTGGCTTATGGTCGGTGAATACTATGAATGAGTACCCTTCGAGCATATATCTGAAATGCTTGATAGCCAAGTAAATCGCCAGTAGCTCTCTGCCGAATGTACTGTATCGCGATTGAGAAGCATTAAGTCGTTTCGAGAAGAAAGATAATGGTTCCCACTGACCGTGAACAAACTGTTGTAGTACTGCGCCTACCGCAACATTTGAAGCGTCTGTCATGATGGCTAGTGGTGCTTCTGAATCACGACGAGAGGGAAGAGTTTCAGAACTTAGAGCCAGCTTCAGTTTGTCAAAAGCATCATGGGCCGCTTGGGTCATGTGAAACACTTTGGCTCGTCCTTGCAATAAATCTGTCAGCGGTTGGGCTACTTCAGCACATTTAGGTATGAAACGTCGATAGAAGTTTATTAACCCCAGAAATCTTCGCAGCTTTCGAAACGAGTCTGGAACAGGATATTCTCGAATTGCATCTACTTCTTGCGGAACCGGTTTAACACCGTTGGCATTAACAATGTGACCCAAAAACTGTAGGGATTCCTTGCCAAATTCGCATTTCTGCGGATTGATTGTAATGCCATATTCACGCAGTCGTTCGAAAAGCGTCCTCAGATGTTGCAGGTGCTCTGTTTCAGATGCGCTAGCTACTATTAAGTCATCTATGTATGCACTGACGAAAGGTAAGCCATGGAGTACCTGATCTATAAATCTTTGGAATGTTTGAGCAGCATTTGTCAAACCAAACGGCATACGAATAAATTCGAATAGTCCGAAGGGAGTAGTGATGGCCGTCTTAGGAACATCATTGGGTTCCACAGGAATGTGATAGTAAGCTCGCACGAGGTCAATCTTGGAAAAAATATTTACTTTTGTCATAGAGTTCATAAAATCATGTATGTGAGGAATTGGATACCTATCAGGGACCGTACGCTTATTCAACGCTCGATAATCACCGCAAGGCCGTATTTCCCCTGATGCTTTTTTAGGTACCATATGCAAAGGTGATGACCATGGGCTCTTGGAAGGGCGTGTAACTCCCAACTTCAGAAGTTTATCAAATTCTTGTTTTGTTATCTGCAGCTCCTTAGGGTCTAAGCGTCGATGTTCAGATGAGATTGGAGGAACGTTTTGTAAGAATATGGTGCGTCACCGTGTGCTTTGGAGAGGACTTCATGTAATCCATTTGAGTGAGCTCTGGAAATTCTCGCAGAAGGATATCGTACTCGGAAGTGTTGTTTATTGGAGCTACGATTAGGTTTATTGTTTTTGTCGCCATAACGATACCCGTGATAGAAAATTCACTATTACGGCTAACAAGTCTATGGCAACTAGAGTCGACCAATAGTTCGTAGTGTTTAAGGAAAGCCATGATAGGTGACGATATATCAACTATGACGAATTCCCACTGGAATGGTGTATGAAAGCCAATGTCTAAGATCAAAATTCCGGGTGCATATGTGGTAATAGCAGATCTATTTGCCGCTTGTAGTACCAAGGTAGGGTTGGGATGGCATTTTTGGAAGGTATGGGTGGGACCACGCTCACTTCGGCTCCAGTGTCAACCAAAAACTGTACTGTAGTCTTCCTATCCGACACCCGGAACAAACGACTGTGTTGTTGTATGCCGGCAACAGCAGTTGTCACTGATCGCCGGCTTTTCCGTTTCCCGGTGAAAAGGTTTTAAATCGCATGGTAACAAACAACGACGTGCTTTACTGCCGAACTGCTTGTGATACCAGCACGTGCTACTTTTAGACGCCATTCTACTTGTGGTCTTATCACGACTACGGGATCTGCTTCTATAGAAGTTCGGTGACCGTCGGTTTAACTGCAAAGCCGTCAGTTGTCCTGTAAGTATGTCTATCTTCCTCTCTCAAGGGGCTACTAGGTCGTTTTGCATATGCTCAGCAATACCTTCAACCTGTTTAGGCATCCTTCCGTACATACGGTCAGCGATGTCAGCCAACCTGTCAATGTCAATGTCCGCATCTCTGACAGCTAATATCTGCTGAATACATGGAGGAAGTCTCCGCAGTCAGAGCTGGTAGAATAAACTGGTCTACATTCCTATCTTTCAGCAGACTTTGCATATGTCGCTTAAGTTGTGAAGGTGTTCTGTCACCGAGGCATATGCTACCTAGTGGTTGATCAACAGCCTTCTGATCAGATAACGAAGTAGCTTTCAGCACCTCCTGCTTCAAAACACCACGAGGTGTGTTTGGGTGGGGCTTTAATAGTGTCTCATTGTTCAGCCAATTCTTCCGGCAAAACAGAGCTTGTGTATCCGAAATTTGTGTTTTGTGAAGTTATATGATTGGCCATGAAGAAATGTTCTAGACGGACAAACCACAATTGCGGGTCATTAGATTTAAAACAAGACATAGGAAGATCAATGGCACCCACTGACCCTACATTCAAAAAGTCTTGATTATGACAGTTCAAGGACATCAGTACTGTACAGCAAAAAATATTTAAGAACAAGAGTAGGAAAAATACAATAAACAAGTATGTCAATGCCTACCACAAAGCAGCTGGATATATATATATATATATATATATATATATATATATATATATATATGTTTATATATATGTATATATCCGTATTGTATACAATTATTAATGACTGTGGTTGCAGTATTCAGTTGAAAACAACAATAATATCCTTCCGTGAAACTTGCGAGAGTTTAATCACTTCAGCCTCACCAGTTTGTCGAGCTCTGAAATCTGACTCCAAATTTATATACGTGTCCAGATACACTATCTCCTACTTATAATCCCCGACACTGCTGATCTACCTGTGTCAGACAGTGTAAATATCAGGAGTTAACGCGAAGTATATATCAGGATGTTGTATTGGTCAACGAGCGAGCAAAAAGTGTTTACATCAGTACAACTAGACAAAAATGTTCAATGAGTTGTTACATATATCAACACAATACAGTGAAATAAAATGCTATAACAGTAGTCAAACTCGGAATGAATTTATGCCAGTTGATGCAAGCGAAATTTTCCGTTTGCAGATAGAGTGTAATATGTCCGACTATATTTACATGAGGAAAGGTAATGATAAGGTGTTCAGATGGTTTTGCAAGCCTAATCTTCGAAACAAGCGTGACCAGAGATTTATGATAGCCTGATATCAGCTACTTTGCTAGCCGAATATAACAGAAAAACTCGGGCACTGTCGTTTAGTTGAAAACTAGATTGTTTATTTGAAATAACGCAAAGTGATACAACCTACTATGGAATTATAGCTCAGTAGCTTTTTGTGAAATTTCATATAGAATTATGTTATATTCCACCCTCAAGAAATTAGCAATTTATGTTCACTATTTGATAGTATTATTGAACACAGTTTATAGGGAACTATTTTGTGGATATGTCTACTCAGTGTGCTTCAGTTTACAGGAGTTAATCCTATCCTCACTAATGACTGCAAGGTGGTTTATGAGTTTGGAAGATATGACATCTTAGGTTTTTGATCATTAGTGTCTCTATAAGATTTCTCGATTGTAGTCGAACCGAGAAGGAGTAATGTTGAGTTTAACCGAAGGGAGGTAAGTCGGTTAATAATGAAGTCAAGAAACTTAAATAATTGTGGCTGCTCAGATTTCTCGTGCGCATACTGAGCCAGCAGCTATACCTCGTCTTGTCATTTTGGCTGAAGTAGGATTAGCTTAAACGGAAGTTAATGATGACCAGACTAAGATGTAGCAGCAGTTCATGAGGTCTTTAACTACTGATCTTAGCCATATATGGTGTGAGCTAAAAATTAATGGTTGTACACTCTTGATGACATGGCTAGAGAATTGACTGCGGTTACTTACATATACTCTTTATTATCTCCCAATTTTTGAAAATCTTGCAAACTTTCGGTTATTTATTCTCTCTTTCGTGACACACCTTTATTTATTCCCACATCGTATTCCTCCTGTACATTTCCCCTTTCTATTTTAATGTGAAGTGTTGCAGCTTAACGAGATGAACCTCTGAATTCGTGTCTCAATAAGGTCAAAATTGTCTTGGTCTTGGTTAAGACACACATTCACAAGAAATATTGACAGGTTTTCATTCAGTGGATATCTGGAAAACCATTAAAATTTATCCAGTCGTAAGAAAAGAGTTCAACTAGAAGGTTTTGTAATGAAGATCCGAAATGTGTGAAAAGAGAGGGTAGAAAAAGAATTTCACATGGTCTGAATATTCGGTAAGTGGTAACGTGATAATAATGCCTGTGATACGTCAATCTTGTGAAGTTCACAGTCATGTATCCTATGAATTATAATGGTCCTCAAGAGTTTACTGTTTTCCAAACATGCATTCATTGTTCACAACAAAAACAACTTAAGTTTATCAGTCGGATCGATTATCATTTATCCACTATTTAAAAACAAAAGCATAAATAACGGTTTATTTAAACATTCAGTCATTTACAAGATCTACGACTTATGATTTCAACGTATCACTTAGAAAGATGAAGTTCAACATAAAGTTAGTCCTAAAACAACTAAGTCAATTAATCAGAAACTGTATTTTTTTTTATACAAAGTTATTTGAGCAATGCTGTTTAGTATTCATGACCAACAATAGTACCAATACTGATTGTCATTATTTCTTATGAACGAATAAAGTAGTTAACTGAATAAATCAGGCACAGGGTGATTGTGTAAACGAGCATTTCTGGCTTCAATTTTATTGTTCTCCCCTTCAATATACTCTTCAATGAATGAATGAATACCTATAAATAATTCAGCATGTAAATCAAAGTCATTTAGCAAAATCAAACACATGAAAAGAATGTCCACCAGTTAGTTAAAATGTTAGGATCCTTTTCATTTATCTGGAAGGTTTCTCTGTTAAAAGGTACATTTATGAAACAAGAGATGAGCAAAGTGCAAAAATTATAAATTAGATATGCTGTAGTAGGTGTGGAGATAGGTTACAAGTTGTTTGCAAGATACCATATTCAGGGTCTTCAAATAAAGTGAAAAATCTGTCTACTAAATTTCCGCGAAATATATTACACTAACAGAGATGAAGTGGAGCTATAGCTGGTTGGACATGAAACTCCAACTTCACCCAGCACATTACAGGTTCTAATTTCCTCTCCACCTACGACGGTTTTAGCTGCAGACATAATAGGTGTAGCTCACAGCTCAGTGCAAATACTTTGATATGGCAGTTGATTTACATCATCGTCATATTTTAATTAGTAATCAACGATTTATGTATTACTTCATAAATACGCTGAAACAATGAGTAACAAATGATAGCCATAAAAAATGTTTTACTGATGGCAAGGAAAATGTCGATTGCAGATAAGTCGGTAAAATAATTTAACTGCATACTTGAAAAGATACCTTAATTCAGGAAATTGGAATATGTATTTGATACGCGTTTATTTTCTTTGGAAAAAAATAAATTCACATTTACATGACGAGTCCCGGTTAAGAACTATACGGTAATGTGATTCTGGAATGGGATTTTAGGAATAGCTGTTAGATATTTTATGAAGTGATGCTAAACGCAAAATAATGAAACTGAGTTAGGACTGGGAGCGAAGTGGTGGAAAGGGTTGACCGATTCACTGAACTGGGAAGTTGCATTAGTCAAAACGGGCCGGTTGCTTACGAAATCTCACCTCGGATACAAAAGGCCCATTTAGCATTTACTAACTCACATCATCTCTGGTGTAGACTTGCAAGATGTCCGGCCACCTATTAAACGACGAGTATACTGCTCTGCAGTCCGTTAAGTCTTACTATATGGGTGTGAAACACCACCACTAAAAGCAGATCAAATGAAGAGATTACAGGATTTTGAAAATGGGTTTATTCGTAGCTTTGTTCCTATGTGGTGGAATCGCTATTTTAACACTGTCGAGGCAGAAAAGCAGAGTGAGTTGATAAGGATGTGAGTCTCTAGCCACTGAAGGGGCTTGGCATGTGTTAAGCATGGTGAGTCACCGCACACGTTGAAGTGAAGCACTAGAAGTTGGATTAGGTTGAAACAAGCCTCAGGGAGGTCAAACCATCATGTGGCATCAGTACTTGAAGTCTTTCACTGTTGGTCTCAGTCATGTGGGGGAGTGTAGACTGCCTGGTTAGGGTTCTCATGACGACAGAAATCAGTGACTGACAGTTATCTTCAGATTGTTGATCCTTTCACACAACTTTGCGTACTCTGATATCACTCTCATTCTATCCACCTGTTCTTTTAATGCTACTGTGAATTGTGGCAACTTGAACTTATGCACTTGTGTCAGATGTTCTACGTTTATTTTGTCTATTTGTCTGGTTAAGAGATGGAACTTCTCCACACGTTCAAACGGACTTATTAAGAATACTAATCTTATCTCATATATTTGACCATTAATTTTAAGACCAAGCACAATGGACTGGGTACATAAAGAAAAGCATTACAAGTAAAACTATCCACAGACATGAGACTACTTTTTTATACACACTATGAGTAAGTAGACTATTGCGAATCACCAATGATTTGGAAATATCTTATAAAGTTAAAATTAAGACGTGAAGGTGAATTGGCTGTACTATTAAAGTGTCTGGTAGATGACGATGTAAAATGCTCAGTGATCCAAGTAGTAGTTATTGAAAGTAACTTAAAACATTATCCCCACTTTTCTATTTAGTGTTTTTGAAAAAAAGGAGTTTTACTTGGTCCTTCTAATGTATAGCCATTTATTTTTTCCTTCACTCAATGATATTTAGCACACTGATTTTACGTGATGTAAGGAATATACTTAAAATATACTTAACCATGTAACTAATTATTATTACTGATGTTAACATCAGAATGTCACTTCATCCCTATGATTTGACACTAAACTTGATACATGAAGTATAATTCAACTTTTTTAAGGAACAATGAAAAATGCATGAACGTTGCATAATTACACTTAATCGCAATCGAAGTGAAATACACATTTCTGTAAATATTATTTTAATTATCGATTTTTCAGTAACCAAATTCACTTACTTGGATGTCGGAAAGATTTTTCGCCATTCATATTCACATAGTACGTCCCAGTATAGTACCAGCCTTTTGGAAGCGGATATAAATGATATTTTTCCTGAGGAGGCAAAGATTTGATGGAAGCTGAATAACTGTTATTGAAGGGAGAGCTTGAAATCTTTGAAGTATTTATGCTGAGAATCACAATCGACATTTGTTTACCTTAATATAGTTGCGAGTAATTTTATAAAAGTTAGTTTATGTTAGCATTTGAGACTACCGAACCTTTTAATACGCTAGGCAAAATTTCTACAGTAATATACTTGTTATTTATACAGAACCCGTCCTTCTCTGCTACAATCTCACTAACCGTTGTTGACCTTCCGCCCCCCCCCCCCAGTCTCCTGAATAAGTCTAAATAACTATCTACTGTTAACAAACACCTCTGCCTTTTCCATCTCTTTACCTTTCGCTGCCCATCACTGTTCGCGGTGGTTGCGTAGACCTTTTCTCAATATACCTTGAAGTTGCGCTCGCCCTAAATTGTACTCATAGCCTGCAGGGATGCGTTCACGTGCATCCATTAGTTCAGAAGAAGCTGCTGACATCCACTGGCCCTTTTTAGCCACTCCTTCTGAGTCAGCTCCGGTCTTCAGCGCTGACTTTACACCAGACTGGAGATGGCACCAAGCTTCTTCTGGATGAGTGATAGTCTTCTGTTCCGATAACTGCCTAACCAACTTCTAACTGAACATGGCTTTGGTATTTTAGTTGTCCATCATCACTCGTAGTGGTCATGGTGACATTTTCGGGGCCGACCTTTTCTGACCCCTCCTTCTACTGAGAAGGTAGCATCAGCATGGCACTGCTGGTCGTCCAAGGGAAACACCTCACTGCTGTCATAACCCATCCAACTTGCAGCAGCACGGTTTCGCCTTCAGACTCCCATCATGGTGTAGTAATTTACACCGCAGCGGTAACTGCTTTCAGTTTAACCACTATCCAACAGACGTTCCTGGTACGGTAGGGCCTCGAGGGAACAAGTTTTCCAGCAGCATAGATCGTTGTGATATGCAAGCCCGATCACCACGTCAAGGTAGCAGCTACCAGTCCGGATTTATAGGGATATTCTTTTTATATAGAAAGGTTGACAGTCAATCTTACCTGAAGCTAAGTAGCAATAAATAAATTTGCCCACAGCTAGAACCTGTTTATGTTTAAGTCACCCTTAAACGTCTCTCAATTATTCGAGGTGTTTATTTGTCAAAACTTATGATCCGACAGCTTAGGGCAGCAGTGTCTTTTCACCACAGACAGGATGAGACATTATACAGGTCCGGCTTTTGAAAGTCTATAGGTGTTTGGTTGTCCGGATTTGTGTAAAATCTCATCTTGTTTGTGGTGAAACGACACTGCTGCCCTAAGCTGTCGGATCATAAGTTTTGACACATAACCACCTCGAATAATTGAGAGATGTTTAAGGGTGATTTAGTCATAAACAGGTTCTAGCTGTGGGCAAATTTATTTATTGCTACTTAGCTTCAGGTAAGACTGACTGTCAACCTTTCTATATAAAAATCAAAAATCTTTAATCCGATTTCGTACAATCAAATTTCACCACATCTACATATGTACCGACATTATTTTTTGTAACTTTGGAAATGTCACTTTAAAACTGTATACTTACGAAACTTGAGAAGCAGAAAACAATTTCATCTTTTTAGCTCTTAAAAGTAAGAGTTATGTCTAAGTGTTGAATTCGGTTCGTCCAATTAATCCACACTTTATGAAAACTAAAGATTTGGCTATCCATATACAGTTTGAAAGCCTATATGATTAGTTGAAACCCAACTTGAATTCAAGATCAGAGATGCCTGAAAGCCAAAGTGCTGGATACTTCTCATCAGTTTTGTTATAGCCATCAGAACTAGGAAAGCATTATAACCTCTGAACATTTCAGAACTATCAAGGAACCACGAGAGAACACCGATACTATTAACCCCAGACCTAACAAAAGATTAGGTGTCGTGAGCATGGATAAAATAGAATATAAGTTTAAAATATCACCTATTCTTGAGGATGAAAATAAGTTTACTTAAGATTATTCTTCAGAAGACGCACAATCGTTACAGAGAACTATGACCGCTAATCTAGTGAAACTGCTCGATATGAACGTTATTACTAGACAAAGATTCGCCCTACTGAGATCAACTGAATCCCAGTTCTCATATCTTTACATAAATCCAATAACCCCTCACGTCCCATAATGTCAATGTGCAAGTCCGCAACGCATAAGCTTGGCCACTGGCTAGTGGAATTACTGGGTCCCATTAGGAAGCAATTCTGTAAGTATTCCTTAAAAGATACATTTGAAGTAATCAAATGCCTTGAGGATGCCAACATAAGAAGCAAATTCATTTGTTCATTTGACGTTAACTCGTTATTCACCAATGTGCCTTTGGTCAAGACAATATATTAAATATTAAATTCATATTTGAGGGCGAACACTTCCGCCAGGTTGGTGGCGTTACCATGGGGAATCCATTAGGCCCTCCTCCTAGCTGACATATTTATGTCACACTTGGAAAACAGCCGAGAACCTAATAGACCAGGTCCGTCTGTATCGAAGATATGTTGACGATGTCTTGATCATTTGTAAAAACTCACGTAAGTCTACTTCAGTTCTAAATCGATTGAATGAAGTACAGAACAGCATATCCTTGAAAAGCGTAGGAGACGAAGATGACTGCTTGTCATTCTTGGATATATTAATTAGTTGGAGGCAGGATGGGTTCATAAAACGATCTACCTACAGAAAACCTACATGGACAGGGCAATATTTGAATTACCATAGCTTTAGTTCAGTTCAGTACAAGCGAGCGTTAGCTAGGTGATTATTCAGTAGAATTCAACGAATATGAACAGAAGATACTTTAGAAGATGAAAGAGGAACAATAGCTGAAATACTGTTGGAAAATAACCACCCGTCAGAATTTATTAGGCAGTGCAAAATAATCAGAGCGCCAAAACCAGATCTTCAGTTTGTCCCAAAGAAGGATGTCTTTATCAGTCTCTCGTACAAAGGTGACTCTCATAGTGCAATCCTTAAGCACAGACTTAACGCTGCTGTTAGAAGTACTTACTATGTAGCCAGGGTTAGATTAATAGAAACCACCAAGGCTGTTTATTTCCCCAAACCCCCACAGCATGTGAACGACGATATCACATCTCATTGTATCTACCAATTCAAATGTACGTGTGGTGACACATACTTAGGGAGGACTCAGAGATCCATGCAAGTAAGGGCCTTGGAACATATTTCAAAGTGGCTTCAAAAGCAAATTAAATCACCTGAACCTATAAACTTTGGTAGCAGACGTCCAAGTTCTTCGATCACCAAAACATATCGTCGAGACAGGTCACAGGATTGATGTGGTTACTTCTTTTACACCTTTTCACAAAGCGTGATAAGGACAAATTCCTAAATTTGTTGAGGCCCTAGCTATTAGGAAATTTAAACCACCTCTGTGTTCATAAATAATGCATTGGTAAATTGAATTATGAAAACCTGGTTCGATGAATTATTATTTCGCTCTATTGACTTTCATTTTTATTCGGCCTTTAATTCAGCCTTCCTACTTGACCAGTTTTTATTTTCTTACTCCGTATCTTTATGAATACATATGACAAGCATGTGTGTGATCAGATAGTTCGAAATGTGTTGCGCAAATACATTACACGGTTCAGACAATTTACGTCTTATTGTTTTCTCGAAGTTTAAAAAGGGAACTAATTGTTTTAGAAAACTAAAGAATTCAGTATAAATTAAGTGTGGAACCCTGACGAAAACTTTGTGCAAGATGTAAGTAAAACATGATACCTGAGTCAACGTCACAAGAGCGATTAGACTTGTTAGATCAAGAGGCTGCTTTTAGGCAACTGGTGTAAATGTCAGATAGTTCAAATGATTTGCATTAAAACATTCTGTTTTATAGATTATAAGAAATGAAGTACAGAGATATATTAAAAATATATTTTGCTAGATTTCTCTATTGACCTTCATTTGTCGAGACTTATAATAACTGGAAAAAGTCGCGAAATGCACAAAATACCGGTGTCATTTTGCAGCGCCAAAGGTATTTACGGAACCTGTCAACTTACATCACTTATGGCACGAACAAGGTTGAGATATAGGGTACCAAGGAAGGCAAGTAAGCTTATTGATGAGGTTGTCTACTTTCATAAACTAAGACGGCCTTGGCATGCGATGCACAAGCCGAGCCACCTCCCAACTTAAAGTGCAAGGTTTAATAAAGAAGGATTGGGTTGAAAGACGACTAAGTAGGATCAGACAAAGATGTGGCACTAGTTCAAGAAGTCTATGACTATTGTTCCGAACCATATAGAGAAGTGGGAACTGTTTGGTTGATGTCCTGGAGATAACAGGAATCGGTAGTTAAAGACTCTCCATGATATGGTTGAAAAGCAGTTATAATGGTGCAGATGTTGTAAATTCTGGCATCTTCGAAGGTTTGAAAAATTTCAGTTATTTATTCTACTTCCTTACGTATATTTTTGCTAATTTTTGTCACGTTTTTTCTTTCCACTTTTTGCATGCCGCTGTGAATTATGGTAACTTGAACCGATCCACTTCCATGGCAGTCTTTGCGGCAATTAGTCGATCCATTTTATGGGAGATCTGTTTGATTCAGTTAAATAGAGTAGTTTGAGTGAAATAGCAAATGTTTACTGTCACAGTGTTTGGGAAAACATAGAAAACTGGTGCCTAGTTTGTGCACTGAAGACATCACTGTAATCTCTTATTGGCTTTTTCAATAGCAGACATAAATTATTCATGTTCTTTACGATTCGTTTTCAACATGTAACTCCATTCTCGATTTATTTAGAAAGTTGTCCTTGTTGGTACTCAGTTCGTAATCATGGTAATATGGTACCAATGAACAATATTGCTACTCATTGTAATTTACCTAACTACTTACATGAATCTTATTCATGTCTTCATCAGTCAAATCTGAAAGTTTTATAAGTTCTCGAGGTTCTTCCTTTTTAGGCGCTGTTTCTCTAATCCAGTTAGCAAATAAATTAGTGATTTCATCATTCGTTTGTCCCACATTATTCGATGCATCTGCAATAATGCAAGTTACCCAATAAGGTTTAGCATTGTTATTTAAATCCGGTTGTTTGGTAATCTGATAAAGACGATTAATACCAGACAGCGTTACGTAATCCAATTCAAATAATTTTGATGGATCTGGAAAAAAGATGAAATTAGGAAAACAGTTAGCCTACTGGTTTCATATATATTGCATACTAACAATCGTCTTCTTTATAGGTTGGTTAATAATAAATAAAAACTAGTTTCTAGTTGTTATTCATCGTAGACTGACATCAGTTGGAGGAACAAAGGAAACCTGGGAGCACTGGACAGCTGTTTCGTCCTAGTGTGGGACTCCTCAGCAGTGCGCACCCACGACCCCACACCAGGAGGGATCGAACCCGCGACCTTCAGGTTCCGCAGCTAGTGCGTTACCACTGAGCCACTGGGTCAGAATCCGACGCTCCATATTTCCAACTTCTGTTAGCTAGTTTGTAAGTGAGCGGTAATATTATACTTATATGCTTCTTTACCAACTTTTAAAGAATAAGAGTAAAAATTGAAGAAGAATAGTATGGTTCCATTTTATTAATTCGGCGTTTTTTATTAGTCGCTTACAACTTATATTATTTACAATAACAAAATGTTACCACAATTTAGTTCAACAAGGTCAGTTAAAGCAGGAAAATAACAGAGAAGTCAAGAAACAATGTGATGTTATTGTAAGTAATATAGGTTGTAAGCTACTGACAAGAACCAGAGAAATAATAATAAGATGAGGGCAAATTGTTCTGCTTCCAGAGGTAATATCCGATTTATTCCAATTTCACAGATATTTTACAAATGTAAAGATTCCTAATCACACAATAAACAGAAACTGTCTGTCGTGCACAGTATGATTAAACTAACACAATTACATACTAAACCACAACATGATAGACAAGTAGACAGAGATTGATCTAAGCTAAAGAAAAGATTTATTAAAGAGTGAAAGAAAGTATAATCATTGATGTATGGAAACAAATCTGTTCGGATCTTCAGAACTCTTGTAAGGATTGACCGACTATTTACATAAAAGCATGAGAATACTTTATTAACAATTACCAATTAAAATGGTGAAAATGACACTAAATTTTTGTTGTCCAGTTTCATTTTATTTGGTGTTGATAATGGATAGTGACTAGTAGATGGATCTAAAATCTGTATCTTACCTATCCTCTTATATAACTAATTTCCAATGTTACCGTTCTCATTGAAATATGAGCTTCATAACCATTACATCAAATGTTAGGGTCATGGGTGTGCACTGCTGAAGGGTACCATACTAGGAAGAAGCAGCTGTCTAGTGCTCTCAGGTTTCCAGTGTTCCTCCAGCTGATATTAATCCATGATGAATACCAACTTGAAAAATGTTAGGGTATTATTTACCAGGCTACTGGCTTGCAAAAGCCGATTCTCGTGCAAAATGTATGGAAATATAAAGACTAACAATTGGATTTTTCTGAAATATTTAATCTAAATCACTCAGTCTCTACAAAAATAGAAACTCTTGTACAGACACCTCAATAATGTTGGCAGTTTCGTTTTGATTCTAATTTTGTGTTGCATTCATTCCAGAAGACAAATATTGCAGATGCTCAATTTTTCTAGGCAATTAAGTTGGGTTGATCAAAAGCGATTCAAGAATTCATGATAAACAAATGAAATAAATTATCCATGCAAGTATTCATAATAGTTGACTGAAAAATAGCACAACCTTTCATTAGCTTGCGCAATAAGAGTAATTGAGAGTGAACACCTGCACACAGTTAGGTTATTATTCCCTGTAACGTTTATTTGATTTATCAATGCAACGTTTATGTTCAACTTGATGATAGAAGTAATCATTATCAAACAAATAAGATGTTTTTCTACTTTTCAAAGAGACTGAATTTTCTTCAGATGTTAGTATTGAGAAAATTTAAAATCTTATATGTAGCAACCTTTCGGCAAAAATGGGGCTTTATGGGATTTTGAGTTTCGTTGTGTACATTACACTGTGGCGTTTTACATAATTCTCCAATAGTTATCAGTTTTAGATATAGATTGAAATAGTAGTTATGACAGCCGACAAAGTTAGCTGTTATATGCCTGGAAAAGGCAATTCGCACAAGATCTCATACAGTTTGTTTCTTCATCCTAGGAAGGATATACGTGATGAATTCAAGAGTTGATCACTAACTTCATAAATAAATACATAACACGATGCTGTTGTGACAGTGCTATTAACTTTCTTTTACTGACTAAAAACAATGCTAAGCTAAATTAAAGCCATAAAAACATTTGAAGTGCGGGAATTAATATGAGATTATACAATCAACTTGTAAAATAACTTCTTAGGCGCATGGTCTTCATCAAAGACAACACAAAGGTGTTAGCAGTTGAAAGGATGTTATAGTTTCAAGTATGGTTGATTGAATAATTCATGGTAATGAAACTTTTACAAAGACTAAAGCAGTCTTCCAAATTTTATTGCGGGGAAACTATTATTAAAGTTGTTGAAGATAATATCATATATATAGGTGTGCAGTTTAGTTTTATAATTCTAAAATGCAACGGTAACATCAACAAAATAACCAGATTTACAAAATATTTAAATAATTATTCTGTTTACTGTTTTTATTGACTGTAGGTTGGTTGGAGGCAATCGAGAGGAGGCTCTGAAATAAAGCTTCATGCTCTTTGGCACTTGTCAACAACAATCAATATTCATCACAGTGTACCATGATAGTGAGTCTCCTTGCTTGCGTGCCTCATTGTAACAATCTATAGAATCAAGTCAGTACTCAGGACTAGACAACATGAAACTGGTTACTCTCTAGTGATCAATCAATACACCGTTTTTATTTCATCAATTTACATATAGTTCAATGTGTTGTTCTGACACTAGGAGAGAAATGCAACTGAAAACCTGAAATGCCTGATCAAACTGTGAATGTTCTATGCTAATTTTCAAAACGCTGTTTATCAGTAACGTGAGTCACATTGTGAAAGAATTATGAACTTACCTTCCACGAAAGCAATCTGACCGTTTAACGTGTAGATGTTACCGTGGAAAGGCCAAGGACTTAAGTTTTCAAATATACCTGTAAATGCGTAGAATCGATTGATTTTCAAACTAGTTTAGTTATGGTTCTATGTTTATTGTTAAGTGGATAACGTGAAATGATGAGAACGATAACAACTATGACGAATGTTTAAAGAAAAACTATTGCATTTATCTGAACGTCCAAGTTGTTTATAACTAGGAGTTTTATGAAAATTGCACTCATGGACTTGAGGACACTGTGCATATCAATAAATTACTTTTTAAATAGTACTACGAGTGGCCATTTTGTTAGCAATAAGAGAAAAATCTCTTTATATTAAACTGCTATACATTTGTATCGATTTCAAAATGGTTATTATTAAAACGCTACACTTTCCAGTCTTGGAAAAGTGTAACAGTAGGCTGCTTCCGTTCAAAAATTAAATTTTAAAAAAGTTCTATCAAAATCCCAGTTTTGTTTATATCTCCCAGTTACCAGTAGAAAGATAGTTACAGTATAAATATCCAACACAAATTTATGTTGTTTTTTTTGATTAACTCACACTAATCCATAAACACAAATCAAACAATATACTTTTAGTTTGATTCTGTGGTTAAAGAGCGAGGACATTTATAGCTTTGCGATGGAATTATTTTCACTCATAATTCGAATAGGTCACAAAACTGTTCAAATCAGTTAGACTAATCCTTCCTTAAGAATCAACAGGGTAAAATGATCTAAAGCAAATGTGCTTTAATTTAATAAATGAATTCGTGTACAGGAAGCAACCAAAATAAGAAGGCATGTAAACATTAAGGAATTTATTTGAAGTTTTTGGTTGAATGGATGCAGTATTCATCTGTGAATAAGGTGAGCAAAATACAGTTATATCGACCTTCAGCTTTTTTGAAGAGAATCTTCAGAAGCGTTTACAGATAATCAACAACAAAGCTTCATACATACAACCTCAAGAAGTCTCATTTTCCCATAATATTCGAACTAGTATCGTTCAGCTTTAACGTCATAAGTTTCACTTATGACCTATCATGAGTTTTGTGGACTTGTTTACAGTATTGAATACTTGAAACAGTGAATAAAATACCGTAAATCTTGGTTTCGATTGGTGCCATTCAACAACATAGCACTTCAGCTGCTACTTGATGGATTCATTTTAGATATGAAACTTTTCCTTCACTTGCTTGATATGGTCATTTAACAGTCGAAATAAAAGTGTCCACTTTATAGATAATAGTAGATAATTTCGTTTGAATTTTATAAATTCATGTCATATATTCATACAAATAAAGACTGGTAAACTCGTAAGTGAAATCGTTATGATGTAGATGTGTAAATACACAAAAATAAGCCAAAGCTGCTGATACACGTAGAAACTTAAAAGAGTAGCTAAGCTATGATTAGACATAATTCACGTTTTAGAGTACCAGGTGGGTAATCTGGAGATCGCTGGTTCTAATCCTGCCGCTGCCCAGATTTTCATTTGACCTTAAATCGTCACATAGTATCAATAATGATAAATATCTAGAATTATTTCCATTATGTTACCTATCACTCATTTTTCAAGGAATGAAAATGACGATTATTGTCGCACTCATTCTTAAAAAGTAAGCAAACAATTAATGATGACATCAAATTGAAACATTTCATTTTCTGCTTATTTTCAGATGTGATAACCATGATATAGTTTACTAAGTCAATTTATAACAGGAAATTATTATTCAGAGAATTACGTTTATAGGATTTATAAACGAGTGCAAGATGCGGCAAACACTTAAATCCACTGTTTTGAAAACCATGCTTCCCAGTAAACGATAAACAAAATAAATATCATACCGGACTTCATCAGGAACAGGATGGTTGTTACGTGTAGATAAATGCTAAGCTATCACCTCTTAAATACACACTTGAAGTTCTCATCTTTCGATCAAGCACCAACAGGCTTCACTTCTCTCCGCTTTTTACGACCAGTAAGGTGCAAGGATACACAAACCCAAAATAACATTTGATCAGAGTTCAGTTAAGTACTCCAAAAAGAGTGACAATTGTCTAACGTTGACTTAGACAGATATCATGAATCTGCAGCCTTCGTTGGCTTGAAGTAAGTGGACGCTAGGTAAAACTGTGTATCTTTCTCCTTATGCTTGAAGTTAGTGTAGGCCAGAATCAAATGACTGTCAAAACAAAATTGTACGGGACAATTACCGTTGTCAGTTCTTTGGTATGGAATTCCGTAGAGCATTGAAGTCGCCTTTTATTGGGAGTATACCTGAACGTTTTCATTAAGTTAACGAAGTTGATAGCTTCTCATAGAATCTATTCTTCATATTATTTGAACTGCAGTCGGTGGGTGCGAAGGCGGATATTACGAATAGGCATCGACAAATTTCACCACCCTTCTTATTTCTTACAAATTCTTTCAGTCGGACAGCATACAAATGGCTGTTCGCTGGTAACCAGTCGAGTAGTGAAATTTTTACCTGACAAATAAGTGCTAAATATGCACTAGTGAGTCTACGAGAGATATACATTGAACATCCAGGTACTTGTCGAATGAATTTTGAATATTCACCAAACTGACTAGGTGGGGTCAATTTAGTAACTAAACTTGAGTTCTGTATATGCGCCTCAGAAACATAGAATACATTCATGTCCTGAGATTCGTGAATTCTTGTAAGAGATACCTGCTGTCTTATTTAACATAGGTTTGGGATGTTGAAAGTTCCAATGTCAAGCCAGCAGTGAAGTTTTAGAAGACTAAGAGAAGTGTTTCGTTGGCCTGATTGTAAGCAAGTATCATGGGCTTTGGAGTTGGGAAAAGTCCTGATGTGAAAGCCCGATCACCTCGTCAGAATAACAAGTACTGGTTGTATCTGCCTTAGTAGTTCCCTCTTAACATTTCATCTGCACCTGATAGCATAAAAGATGGTCGAGCAATATACTGATGATACAAAAGGACTAAACAGTTTACTGTTTCCTCCAAGAATGTTTCTAATGACTCGGTTTCGCCTTGTTAAACAGGGATTTTCTTGACTGATTGCTTACTGGTCTGTTTACCTCATTATGCTGTGATCTGACTGAACCTTTTGTCTGATGTTAGCCAATCTTATAATACCCCAGCCAGAATAAGTTACATAATACACCAAAACGTTTCCATATGATTCTATCATGGTGTAATTGTATTGTTTAGCGTAATCACACTCTATCTTCACTTAGCCTCAACAAACAATACGCAATTATTGTGAAAAATTAAAAATATAACAGTGCGCCGTAAAGTCTGGTAATTTATGAAGATAATCACTCCTCAGGTTAAACAATCTAAATACTTAAGAGTCGATTCAATTGGTCGTATGAAGAAAACCGTCGAGTATTTTAACTTTCTCTTATAATGTTAATTAAGATCGCTTAAAAATTGTAAATCCAAAGTCATTTATGTAAATTTCTCACCTTTCATGGCATTGGTTAATAGTATTCGATCAAGAGGTCGACTAAAATGAAGTGTTATATTTCGTAATCTTGGGGAACATGGGCTAAGTGTACAAAGGCTAAAATGAGGTGATAAGAAATGCATAGTATCATCTACGTTATTGTAATTAATATGAAGATACAAGAGATGTTAGGAAAACAGTAGTACATACGGTTTATGAAAAAGAAATATTTTACAATGGAAGTAAACAAATATTCTGAAAGTGATGGATCGTGGCTAGCAGTGAAATCTAGGATGTGCATTTCGTCCTATTTGGGACTCATTAGCTGGATGTATCTGCTTCCCAGTGAGTGATGTTGTTCCCACCTGGATGAGTCCCAAATAGGACAAAGTGCGCATTTTGGATTCCACTGCTAGCCACGATCCATCACTAACATAATTAGAACGCAGGCAATATCGAGGCATCCGCACAGGAGCTCATATGCCAGTAGAGACCGATCAATTCGGTCTAATCAACGACGGTATCATATAAAAACTGTTATACTAAGTATTCTGAAAGTATTAATTTACCTTGAGTCACTTAACCACCATGCAGAACTTTTAAACATTTCATACACATACTACTTCTAGTTTAGGAGAAATTAATGTATTTTGAATCCTCTCAATGAAAAGGTAGTAAACAGTTCTAGAAGCTGAGTGATATGGAACTTTGGTATTGAAAAGAATTGCGTAGAAACATGAGTTTTCTGTAATTCAGGCTTATTTTTCAATCAAACATTTAGTGACACAACATCTCACCGTCACATTGATAAGAAATATACCTTGAATCTAACTGAAGTATGAATTTCATGAAAGCTAGCTCAGTGTTTCAAAGGTTGTCAAAATGAAATTGTATTTAGGTAAAACCAAAGTGTATTTACAAAAGTGAAAGCGTGTTACATTCTTAAAAGATAACATAGATATGAGGAGATCTCAAGATAACGGTCTGTAGTCAGCACTTGAAAAAAGTAGGTAAGCTCTTTGTATTCAACTAGGTAAAATGTGAGGAGCAATATACTTTCTTGTCTTCAGAAGAATTGGTACTTCTGTTCATATGTTTGGTCTAACTGCCAACACTAATGATATGTGAGTAAGCTTGTCATACATGAACTCACATATTAGAAGTACAGTAAATTAAAAATAATCCCAGTTTACTAAATCAACAAAAATTTTAAGCCATTTTAATGGCCTGATACTCGTTGCCAGACATAATATCGTAGTGAAACTGAAGAAATCTTTCCTGACTATCTAATACACTTGGTATGTATGTGTTTCGTAACTAGTTCACTGGTCCTACTTTATTTCAAATAAAGGTTTGATTGATCTTCATAAGATGAAATGACTGGTATGATTTGAATCATATTCGTTTGAACGGTCTATAGAACTACTGTTCATTTCTTCACAATATACATCTAGCTTTCGGTAACAAAAAGCGTTCAACTATGAAGTGTTCGATGATCAGTGCACCCATATATACTAGAATTTCGGCAATTTCATACACTTCATATGTTCTTATGAACTGTTCTGAAAGAATTTACGCGAAGAAACAAAATGAAACATTCATTCTATGAATATCATCTTCCTTTTAGTCTGATTAAATTCAATTTGATATATTTTCCCTACACAAGCCATATCAACTCATGCTCTCACCAGGGTGAATAATGAATCGAGAATCAACCAATACACTGTTTCTGCTGATTCAAACTGGTGAAAAATACTTTGCGTTATGAGACCAACATAATTTAAATAGATTAACTCGAAGCCACAGGTAGTCATGCAAATAGATATACAGTTATTTTATCATAAGTTTTGCTTAAATCGCATTGAAAACTTGAAAACTCTGGTTATTTTACTTGTGATATTAGTGATATGGTTTTTGCAAAATAACAAATTCTCTATTACCTTGGATAAGATAACAAACGTGCACGTTGTAGCATGGGATTAGAAAACGCGTTCGCATCCATCAGTGCTTTGAGGACATGTGTTTGGTCTGTTTTTCCATCTGGTGTAGATAAATGACTAAGATGTGGATTGGCTGAGTGCAAGAGTTCTTCGATTTCAACAAGTGGTACTCCTAATAGAGTGAAATTCACCTTTAAGAGAAAATGCATTGAAGTTAATCATTTTAAATTATTGAATGTATGCACACTCAAAAAGCAATTTTAAAGAATACTACATAGTGTTTTATCAGCAGTGAATAGTGTACAGCATGTGGGATCTCTACTAGGAAAGTTTAAATGAAAATAGAGATTTTATGGAAATTCCATAAAAATGATTAACAGGATCTTACTTAAAGGTATATCCATCATTACGGTTATTTGTTTTAGTTGTACCAGATAACTTCATCATATGTATCACTTGGTTTACTTTTTGGTTGCTAAAAATATTACTCCCTATCTCTTATAACTATCAGACTACAGCCCAACACTTGCTAAGTATACTTGAAATATCATGTTCCTTGATCATATTCACTCACTTCCCATAATAGATAAAATTTGGTCTTTAACTTATCAATTGCGCTAATTTATATGTCAAATAAAGGATCGACATAATGACTCATTTCAAATCTATGAATCTAGACTATGTACACAGTGATTGTTGAAATGGATTATTATAACATCTTTATCCTTTCAAGTAATTTTACTCAACTAACCGTGTCCTCTGAAGTAAACTTTTGAAAAATAATACTAGCGAGAGTTAATACAGATTGTCCAATTAAACAGTACTAGTACTTAGCTAGTTTCTTCAAATCTTTATTAAATTGTTAGTAGACTTAGAGAACACCTTTTGATAACTACATTAGTATTCGTCTGACTTATCACCTACTGGACTGAAATGTTATAGCTAGAATACGAATTAGATCCCCCTTATATTGAGTGAATTTTTGTAGGATTGTGGCCCATTGGTCCAGGTACTCGACCTTCGATCGATGAGTTACGGGTTCGAACCCAAACCCACTTGCCGAGGTTCAGGCAGCCAGTCAGTATCATCAAACTTCACACAATAAGTGTGGCTCATTGCTTGCTGAACACACTTGTACGAGGCTCCTGAATGCATTTCACTTCATGCTGAATTTTGAAAAGGTGATAAATGATTCTCCAGAGAGTATAATTGTTTTTACATGAAAAGCAGATAACATGGTTTTTATCATTTTAATACTTTTACCATTCGTTGTACATTATTATTAAATTACCTCGTTGCAATTCACACAAGTTACCGATCTGACTGTAAGGTTTCTTGAAAATCACTGCGTATTAGGAGGAAACAGACTGAATAAATATTTATGATGGTCTGTAACTTCAGTGAAACTGATCTACCGTAGAAATTGATATTCATAAACTCGCTATCAGAACAGATATTCATCTTCTACTTAGCTAAATCGGTACCTCTGGCTTTTGAAGAAAACAAAGGAATGGGTTGCGTATTTCACTCACTATGATTCATCGATAGTAGTTGGGAGTTGGATAGTGAGAATCCCTCTATGACAACTTTTCTTTTGACTTTGGCCACTTTCCACATGAACAGAAATCTGTTGCAACACTTGAACCAGATCACTTGATTTAACTGACAGTGATAAGCTGTTAAAAATTAACAAGTCATCTCACCAGTCAAACTGTAGGCAATCCCATTGGTTCTGTAGGGAATAATGTTTCTACAATGTATGCACATTCAAGAATGTTGAAATAACATCTGCTCCTGCTGGTAAGGTTTGTAGCATACATTTTGAGTAGAGGAATTTCACTACCTAATAATTACAAAAGGCGGACATCGAAAGTACAAATAACATTCGTGTGATAACGCATACTACGGACTAATTTTAAAGTACCTGGTTAGATTTTGGTGGTCCAGTAAGGAGTAAATAGTTTGTCCAACCTTCCGCTATCAGTTCAAGAACACCAGGAAACGTCATTCTGTAAGATTTGAAAATATATTTAAAGCTTTCTGTTAGCAGTAAGGATATTTGTGACGGTCTAATCCCTACTCATCAAATGAAACAACACTACTGTGAATAGTACATTATTTTAATGTTGATATATGTTATCAAGTTTCATTTCAAAAAGGACGGTCTATGTGGTTCAACGTCTCAAAAAAAGACGATCATAATACAGGCTTATACTTTGAAGAAGGAAATGGAAAACGAACCGAGTGGACCTGAGGTATCTAAAGTTTCGTAGATGGAAAAAGGCAGATAAAGAGCTAAATTTAGTAACAAAACATCATGTTTAAGTTGGATGCGAACAGGATGTACCATATGGTAGTAGACATAGCCATGGATAGGGTTTCCTAAACCTACATTTAAGCGAAAAATGTTTAATTTTCTCTCCACTGGAGTACAATTTCTTGAATAATAAACTAAAATATATATCTGTAAGAGTGATGATTACTCTGCACCACAAACATGTAAGAGAAAGGTCATCATCGTTTTTAGTAGGAATTAGACCAGGACACTCAGAATACAGAATGTAATATGATTCCGGATCACAAAGGCATTCAAGCAGTTGTAAATGATAATTTCGACTGAACGCGACAAACTTTGCGGATAAATCGCGTCTAGCGGAAAAAATATGAACGCCTTTCAGATTTATGTCTTTGATGAGTAGACATGTACAATTACTTACTACAATTTTGGAGTGTTTCTATTCAAGCACTCCGTGATAGTCTCAACTCAAGAGGGATAGCTGCTGACTGATCTTGAGGAGTCATAAAAGGTGTGGGCAACTATCATTACTCTTTATAGGATATCGTAACCGTGGAGCTGTATTATTACAGACGAAAAAATGACTAGCCTGAAAATGAGTAAGAACAGAAAGCAGGACCTTGGATTTTTCATTGCCCTATTCCCAACAACGTATTGAATGAAATTATTCAATAATAACTTATAGATTGAATGAAGTTCGATGAATATGGATGCCCCTCGAGAATAATATCAATAGAGCTGACTAGAAATAAAAACAGACGATATGAAAGAATTAAGAGAGAAAATAATTATTTGAGTGTGGTCTCACATAAATCCTCTACCATCCGAAGAATCTTGGTTAGCAATTTAACAACCATTTTTATTGCTTAGTAAATGACATTTTTTAAATAAATGAATCATCAGTTTTAAGTTGAGAATAAATTGTCCTTACCTTCCACTATCCATAACAGCCATACGTAAGTCAACACACGTTGCAACACAACCTGAAAAACCAACAAAAACGTAGTTGTAAAGTTCTGCTGCTCACCTAAACAGTAAACGATCAGAATAAAATAAACACTTAAATCAAGCAACAATTTTTAGGGATTTCTTGTCTTAGCTGTTTTTTTGTTTGGAGCTTCAAAAAGGTGTTAGTGAGTGGAGTGAACTTATGTCAGTTATATTAACCCTCCAGGGATTATTATTATTTTATTATTATTAGTCCTTGGGTTCCTAATGGAACATAGGGCTTCAGTAGCACGTCTCCATTCCACTCTGTCCTCTGAAATCTTTTGGACCTGGCTCCACGACAGCCACAACCTCTCATTCCTTCCTCGCACGATCTCCTCCATGTCACCCTCGTCTCGGACGCCCAACTCGTCGCTTCCCATACGGATTCCACTCGAGGGCCTGACCTGACGCGTGATGTCCCCAGTCGGCCTTCTCAGTGTATGCCCAATCCATCTCCACTTCCTTCCAGTGCATATTTGTTGGGTGATAGGTTCTTGCTTCGTTGGTTCGTTCCCAGAGCTCCTCGTTGCTTATTCTTTCGTGCCATCTAATCTTCAGTAGCGAGCGTAAGCAGTTATTGATGAATGTCTGTAGTTTGTTGGAAATCCCTTTCGTGACGCGCCAAGTCTCTGAACCATATAGAAGCACTGACTTGACTGACGTTGGTGTTGAAAATCCGGATCTTGTTCCACATGCTGAGTGCAGACAGATCTCCACACTGGTTTCAGGCTAATGAACGCCTGTCTTGCAGTCTTTCCGATTCTGACTTTGACATCCTCGTCTGTGCCTGTGGAGCCTGTAGTTGAAACAGTGCTTCCTAGATAGGTGGAGGAGGTTACTTCCTTTAAGTTTCTCCCGTTGACGGTGATTGGAGTTTGTTGTTGTTGGTGGTGGTGCGGTATCTTCATCACCTCTGTCTTCTCTATATTCACCTGAAGTCCCGTCTTCGCTGCCTCTTCTGTCAACTTGTTAGCTTTGCCTGCAGATCTTCAAGTTTATGTGACATCAGGCACAAGTCATCGGCGAAATCCAAGTCTTCTAGGTTCTTTTCCGTCGTCCAGCGTATCCCCCTCTTCTCGCTGCCCACTGTTTGCTGCATGATCCACTCCACCACAATTAGGAATATCATGGGGGATAGTAGGCAACCTTGTATCACTCCTGTCTTCACTTCAAAAGCATCACTGAGCTTCCCATTGTGAATTACTTGGCTGGCATGTGGCATCTTCATATAATTGTTGAATGAGGCGGATAAAGGTTTGCGGTATTCCGTAGTAGTGAAGCAGTTTCCAAATTACTTCTCGGTCGACGCTGTCAAAGGCCTTCTCAAAGTCGATGAAGTTGAGGCAGAGAGCTGATTGCCATTCTATACTCTGTTCTATGATGATGCGTAGAGTGCGTTGCAATTTGGTCTGCACATGATTTGTACTTCCTGAAGCCTGCCTGTTCCGGTAGCAGTTTTGAATCCAGTGCATCTTTAAGCCTCTCTAGGATGATGCGGCTTAATATTTTACTTGGGGTGGACAGGAGAGTGATTCCGCTCCAGTTCTTGCAAACACTCACGTCGCCCTTTTTCGGCAGTTTGACAAGGTAACCCTTCTTCCAATCAGTGGCAGAGTACCTTCTCTTCCTTCCACACCTTCTGCAATAGTGGTGTGGTGTGAGCATGTCCGCTGTTGTCTCTGCATCTGTTCTCAGTGCTTCTGGTGGTATCCCATCTGGTCCTGCTGCTTTCCCGCATTTCAGTAGCTTTATGGCGTTCAGGACTTCACTTCTGTTTCTGTTGGAGGATTTAAGTTCACTTGTAATTCAGCGGCTGCAGGTGGTATTTCTGGACGAAGTGTAGGTGGTGGTGGTGGTCGATTCAAGAGCTTCTTGAAGTGGTCGGCCCATTGTTTCCTTTGTTTCTCTTCTTTCGTAATTAAATTTCCTTCTTCATCTTTTTTGGTTTCATCTGTGTTGATCTCTTCCCTGATAGCAACCTGCTTATTTGATACAATGTCGTCAGGTCTCTCCTACCAGCCGGTAGCCTGTTCTGCTTCACTTGCCAGTGTTTCGTAGAAGTGTCTTTTGTCTTTGCGTGCATTCTTCTTCACTTCTTTGTTCAGTGTTTATACATTGTGCTCAGTTCCTCTTGTCGTTGAGCATCCTTGCACTGCACTGGTTTATCTTCTGCTTCACCATCCTCCTCTCCTCTATCAGCTTCCATGTATCCGTCGAGATCCATTCCTTATCTTCTTTCTTCTTCCTTCCTAATACTGTTGTGCAGGTTTCTTTCCACATCCCTCTCACAGACTTCCAGTGTTCTTCCACACAGGTTTCTTCAGGGATGTTCCTCGATATCTCCCATTTTGTCTTGATATCTGGCTGACGTGAAGATCTCCTTTGTAGTTTCATCCTTCAGTTTCCGAGTGTTTTACTTGAACTGCGGTCTATCACCAGCTTCCTTGAAGGCTCTCAACTTGATTTGGAAGGTTCCTTGCACTAGATAGTGGTCTAAACCTACATCTGCTCCTCTTCTTGCCCTTGTGTCAAGTAGACTGCGTCTCCATTTTCTTGAGATTGAGATAAAGTCGATTTGATTTTTAGTGTGTCCATCTGGTGAAATCCATGTCGCTCGCTTTGTGGATATCCTTGTGCCTGAACACACTGCCTCCAATCACCAAATCGTTGAATGCGCAGAATTCTGCAAACAATTCTCCATTCTCGTTCATCACCTCACCGAGCGCTTCTCGACCCATGGTTAGTTCTCTTCTTGTGTTGTCTACTCCTAGTTTGGCATTCATGTCACCCCATTCGAATTTTGATATATCACCAACTGACGTCTTGTCCAGTGTTGATTGAAGTTGTCAGTAGAAATCCTCCTTTTTCTCTTGCTCTGCATTATTTGTAGGTGCATAACATTGTATGATTGTGACCTTCCTTCTTTTTGAGTTGAACCTTGCTGTCATGATCCTGGAGGAGATTGGTTCCCACTGCATGAGAGCCTTCGATGCTCTTGAGGACATCATGATAGCCACTCCCTCAGTGTGCTCGTGGTTGTCGTCTGGGTGACAATATCCGAGTAGATTATTGATTCTCCAGTTGACAGTTTGGAGAGTCCACTCCCATTCCATCTGCTTTCGCAAATCCCAAGCACTTCGATGTTATACCTTCTCATCTCCTTTGCAATCTGGGCTGCCTTACTGGGTTCAAACATCGTACGGACATTCCATGTCCCCACGTTTACTTTCGCTTTCATCGAGGGAGAGAAGACACATCGGCCAATTGGCTTCCCGAAGGCAGGCTTTCACCAACTGGCGTCATTTCGCCTCTCCGATTCCAGTGAGGAATAAGTTTGTTTTCATTTTTTATATTTTGTTTGTGCTTTGAAGTTTCTTTAGCGGTTAGATTTGTTTTACGGGGTAGGGTTGCTAGCCCTATGCCCAACCTTCCCTGTTTACCCGGGCTTATTACCGGCCAGTAACTGGTGAACTAGTTAACTAGGGATTATAGAAATAATTTATCAGCTCAGCAGCTAATATGAGTTAGTTAATCTAAAACCAATCTCATATATCCAAAAAAATATTCAGCAAGCTGTCATTTTAGAGGAAATTACACAGCTGCTAAGAACAATCAGAGTACCTGTCACAAAAAGGATACCATCTCCAATCCTTTTCCATGCACTACTTTGCATCTTATATGTGAACTGTGTGTGTGGAGCATTATGATCACTGAATCTACTGGAAAACTCATTAAGACAGTAAGACTTCTGTTACAGATTTTTATCTTGGATAAGTTAACTGGTAGTCATCAAGGAGAACATTCATGATAAAAAGCCCTTAACCATAATAAGCTCATAGTGATTGTCACATATATTATGGTCTTCCATCCGTTTGGTTTTAAATACAGAACTTTCAGAAATAGGATGTACTTGTACTTAACTAGTGAAACATTACAAGGAATTGTATTTAGAGAGTATTTTACGCGTACAATCTATTGATTTCGTAATGAAGTAATGGAGTATTTACAGAGGATTGGTTAATCGAATAACAGCTAGAATATAAGGATGATGAATTCAAAGTGATAGTCAGATAATAATTACATGAATGAGTATTCTAAAAAAATTTTGAACTAATTCATCGGGGTGCCATGTTTCACTAAATATTTCCAACTTTAGTTTTGGAAAATAATAATGAATTCAAAAATTTTGTTTAACATATTAGTGAGAAAGTAATTTCCATAATATAGCTGTATTCCTCGAAGGTTTGTCAGAAATGAGGAAACTTTGGTCAGCTGTTGTCCGCTCCTTTCTACAGCGGCAGAATCTTTTATCTCATCAGACTACCAGATTGACACTGATTTTGACTACGGTTTGTGATTATTAATCTTTTGTTCCCTTGATTCACTAAATTATTGTTAGGGTTTCAAACAACCATTCATTTCTATATATTTAAGTATGTTATGTGATTATTAGTACTAATAATCCAGTTCAATTATAGGTTGTTTGCAGCTGATGAAAGGTCGCGAAGTGAAATGAGCTCATTTTATTCTGCAGCTGTTTTGTTAGAACTGATTTGTAAGGTGTCACAGATGCATGTTTCAAAAAGAATGTGCAATTATTATTTAAGAAATATCACCAGAAAGTCTTTTCAAGAGACTCTAGTGATAATATCTCCCCTATGAATTGTGACAAACATAGTTCTCAGTATAACTCATATGATCGAACAACCATAAAAGAGGTTCATTTTGGGCGCCCATTGTGTCACTGCTCATGATATTATAAATTTCAAACCTAGATACTTAAGTTGTAACAAGGAATAGGAGTTCACGGGTTTCCCATTAAATTTCACTTTGAAAAACTATTCTTATACAGTGGGGTATCACTTGAACTATTTTGAGATCAGTGACATTGTAACAGATAAGGAGGATGAATTAGGTTGAAAAAGCTTCCCCAGTTTTAATGATCAGAACATGCATTCAAAATTTCCATCCGCTTCCTAATTCAAGTAGAACTCCTTGTTAAGGATAAGTAGGGGAAACGTTTTTTGATTTGACCATGAAATAAGTTCAAAAGTCATTCCTATCAATTTAAGTCGTCAGAAAAGTATTTATTTCATTGCAAGGGTTCTTGAAGTGTCAGGGACTCAAAGACTACAGACTCTTGATTATATAACTGAAATTCGATGCTGCATATTAAATCTTTGTCATCTTTTAGGAACCTAGTTTTGTTTTCTATCATCTTGTCTTTCTATTTATCTTGTGCTGTAAATTTATCTGTTTCAAATGATGTACATTATCAGTAAACGTCAACGTAAATCAATAACTGTTGACTGTGTAATAAGTGATAAATGCAACCTAAAGAACCAGTATATAGTTGGTTATTCTCACTTTTGACGTGAAATTATAGGTTATAAATGTGTTAGATTAAGGCATTCGTCTTTACCAAACAATTAAAAACATAATCAAACAACTAGTATACTAACCAATTTTGATCGGCATAATGTTATCATTTAATTCAAGTCTTCGATGTACTTCTGAAATAGAAGCAAGAACCTCTTTCGAACCAGATATGCCTGGACATAATAAGATTCCATGACACCTTGGTTTTATTTCATAATCATTATTTAAGCAGGACTGTAGATTACAGTATTTAAATAAAGCTTTGAGCAATGATGAAGATATATCTTCAGAATTATTTGGTTTCATTTCAATCCATTTTATGCCCTCCTTGACGAAATTTAAAATATTCTTTACAACCAACTCCTAGTGATTGAAAAAAATATATAAAAAAACATTCTTGGGTTTTAAAAGTCATCTGTTTGACGGTCTCGTATTCAAGAAAAAGGATTAAATTGTACAACTAACTTTAATAAGGTGTACTAATCTCGCATAGGATGCAATGATTTGACACCATAACATAGAGAACGTTCAATAGCCCAAAGTATCACCTTTATAAGAAAATAATGAACATCTAGAGAATTATGAGATTTCTAACTAAGTCAATTCACGGACGAAGTTAGTTGATATTCCAGATAGTTGGAAAATACTAACCGAACCACATCCGTGGGGTTACGTGGGATTGAACCTGGAACCTTTAGGTAGCATAGCAAGCACGTTACTACTCAATCACTTAGTTAGAATTCAATAACTCCCAATTTTTAACTTATGCCAACTCTTGATGTAATGAAATCAATATTCAAGATTGTCGGAGAGGATTTATCCTCTTATTTGATTTGGTTAACCCCAAATATCATGGTCTCATTAAAACTATAGAAAGCTTACCTCAACAGGAGTCAGCAATCAGAAATGTATCATTACTCAGTCTAGAAGTTAGAAAAAAGTTGATTTACTTCAAAGAAATTTTCATCGCAGGTGGATGTCAGAGGTTGAGTAATAACTTACTCACCTCGAGATCTGGTGAATCTAGTATCGATCTAACATAGTGTTACATGTTCACATCACTCAAGTTCCCCAAACTAGGAAGAAACAGCCTTCTTAAGCTCATAGGTCCACAAGGATTATCTAAGTGACACTGATTTATGAAGGTAGCTCTCTTAAAATCAATCATTTCCCCAAATAATACCGAAACGTATTAGATATGTCATTAAGTTTGAAATATATAACTTTTGAATGCCTGGAACCAAGATAATATGTACATGATGAAATAGAGGAATGGAAATCTCATACATAGCCTTCACAGTGCAATCAGTTTGAAAATGCTTTAAACGAAGTAGTTTAAAAAATGAACTAGGAAGTTACTTTGTATTAATATGGATTATAAACAACAATGGGTCGAACATCAGTAGAGCCTTATGATTAGTAGTGAACAGTTACCTAGCTCATTCATACAGAAATAATAAGAAGCTTCAATAAATTCTCTCCATTTTCCGAGAGTGTCAGTAAATAAAACTACGGAAAGATGTTCAGAAAATTCCGGTTAGTCAACATTTTTTTCTACCTCAGTTTTAACATACTAATTAAAAAGAATGGATCAGTAATACCTCTTTTCAGTGTTCAAATAGCACATCGAAATTGAACAATAAAATTCTCTCATGAGAAAGTTTTACAACATTGCAACACGAGTAAATTCATATTTGGCACAGTCAGTTAGTCAATGCAAGTAAATGCATTACTCATCAGTGATGAGTTAAGTGCATTTCCATCTTTTTGGCTGTTTACTTTTCAAGTTATTCTTTAAAATGTGAATACGTTAGTAGTGGAATCGTGCTTGCCTTCAAGTACTCCTCAACTCCTGATAACAGGTGCTACACTAGGGGTGAAGTATGTCATGAGTTTCACTACTGGGGATGAGTACTTCACCTGAAACAGTGAAATTAACTATGTTACTAATTGGCTTACCAGTGCACTTATTTAATTTCTCAAAAATGTTTAATTAAGATTTTTATCTGTAAAATTGAAATCAACAGTATAACTTAGCTGAACTGTTTAACATAATAAATTTTTCTAAAGGGAGATTTTTCAAAACATCAAAAGGACAAACACTTACTTTACGACTACCAGGTGGACCACATATAACTGTAATAGTGAGTGGCTCTTTGATCAATGTCAATAATGAAGATAATTTTACATGACTAAACTGCCAATCATCACTATCAATTATTTCTGTGTCTGCAATTCTTAGAGTTTTGCGACAAACGTTGAATAAATCTTCCTCTGTAGTGAATGTATTTCCTTCACGGTTATCATAAATATGATTGCGTATACATAAAGCTGCTTCATCGACTATTCGATTCCATTCAATTTGTTGACCGATTTGAATAGATTTGTAGGATTGAGGGTTGATTCCACATCTAAAACACAAATCAGCACATGTGTTAACGGTGGGGATTTGTACACTGAAGCAACAGCTAGCTTCGACATGTAATAATTCATCACGAAATAAACGAATCCAACTTCGAATAGATGGTTGACGCATTAATATTTGTGAGGCCAAAACGTTATGAACTTCATCCTTTGGTTGAATTTTAGATGATGAAATCTTTTCAGATAATGTTTCATCATCAGATGAAGATATCTGAATAGAATCGTGTTCTAACTGAGAAGTAATAAAAGAAGCCTTGATAGCATATTCATTTAGTTTGTCAGAAGGAACTTCTAGAAGACCTTTACTACGCCATACGGGGAAAACCTACACAAATAGGAATGAAAATCAAACTGATTAGCTAGTCAGGAAATAAAAGTAAACCAAGATTTCATCAAAAACGTAAATAGTAAATAAGATACAAACAGCTTTCATTATCATAAAATATCATGCTATATTTAACATTATATGCAAACTATCCTTTCTATTAACTACTTCTTTTACGGTTTAGACCTGATCTTATCGGTTTGAAAACCACATAATATAATGTTTATTGACTTTGCTTTCACTTCGAGAAATAAAACGCAGACTTAGTGTGTTTTTCAGATGTTTTAAATATTTTAGTAAGACATTTAGAGCATTTAGAAAGCAGAAAATCACTATATAACCTGGACAAAATGAACAAAAGTTAGATTTACCTGCATTCATGTTTATCAGTTCTTAACTCATTAAGGATATAAAGCATAAGTATTAAGCTTCATGTTGTTTATAATAGTGTCTACAAGCTGTTCAGTATTTTTATGTGGTCCTATTATGAGGCGTTCACAAATATTTTTGAAGTCATCCTTTTTTTCCATAGTTATAGTGTACTTGCTTTCACCATATTTAGCACTTAACATGCTTGTATCCCTATTTACATTCTGAGTTGAAATTTTGTCTTAATTATTGGGAAATCGCATTCTACCAAAGTGCTTAAATCCTACTTGCACATTAGTGCAAAATCCTAAAGTAGAATAGTTTATCACTGATAAATGTTAAATCTCATCAAACACAACATAAGTTTACTTTCATGCAACAAATACCCTGCGTTCTAACTTAATGAAAGTTAAAGATGTGGTACCAAAAAAAGATCGACAGAACTCCGTTTATAAAATCAAATGCAGAGATCATACTTCAGTATGTGTAGGGCAAACAGCCAGACAGGTAAATGTGACAGTCAATGAGAATAAACTATCCCTAAAGCAGATCCCAAAAGCCTTTACAGAGGTTAAAAAAAATAGAAAATAAATCCGCAATCACGCTACACTCCATAGAAATGGGACACAAAATTGACTTTGACGGAACTAGGGTTCTACAAAAAGGTTTTGGGTCATACCAAGAAAGGTTGACAGCCGAAGCCCTACGTATATGGGCGAATCTAGACAGTTTGAACAGACGAAATGGAGTACAGTTAACTGTCTCTTAGCAATTACTAACTAGTAAACAGAAAGAGTGACTCAAAGCATTTACCGTCAACACCAGTCTCAAATTCATTATTTCTGCATCAACAACAACACAAACTGGATTGGTTTGATACAATATTACTATCATAATTTTCATCATCACCATCATTATCGTTACTCATTCCCAGTCTCTTTCCGGTAAATGAAGGGAAAAATTCGTTAATACTATTCACTACTATATTCCAACTGAAGCTGCATACATATCCACCTCATCCATTCCTTTGTACTGATAAAATTACCGAATAACTATAATGTCACTTAGGAACTATTTTTCTTGATATTTACAATCAAGACGAATATGAATATAAACATCCAGACCATAGTCATTACGACAGTCCTGGAAGAAGTTGAACGCCGAGTCTGATTGAATCATTATAAGAATATATTTCAATATAATCCCAGAGTGTTTAGAAAATCAAAACGAAATATTTCTGAACGTTTCGCTGTGTAAGCCACAGCTTCTTCAGCAGAATATAAGGATTTTTTCATTAACATCAAAATATATAGTTAAATGATACATCAAATACATTTGGTGAGCGTAGGTCATTGGTTGAATGAATTTCCTGTCCAGCCTGAGTAATTAGGATTAGAAGTAGCATTCATCATGGACTGACATCAGTTGGGGGACCATTGAAAACCCGGGAGCACTGGACACCTGTTTCGTCTTAGTATGGGACTCGTCAGCAGTACGCACCCATGACCCAGCTTGGGATCGAACTCAGGACCTTCAGGTTTCACGGTGATGAATACTACTTCTAAATTTAAGAAAATCCCCACTCATCTCAAAAATACATTACTGCGTAGCGCTAATTAAGACTAGTCATTACAAGATCCTGGTTGTTGTTATTGTCATTTGTCAACAAATATATAATATAGTCAAAATGTGTGTACGCGTGTGTGTTTATGTGTGTTGAAGAATAGGTGTTATTTATTGTACTTTTATTTACAGAACCGTCAGTAGTTATCACTGTACTTCAATTCGAAAAAGTCATCACTAATGGTTTCGGGGGGTTAATGTTTGCTAAACAGGTGACAAATCTAGTCTTTCTTTTCTGTTTATAGCATTTGATGTTGTTAAAATATGCAGGGTCTCGGAAGTTAATCTTTCTTTATGTGAATGAAAACTTTTCCCCAATATATCTACATTCTCAAAGTCAATCATGTATCCACTTTCGATTGTATGCATAGCTACTGTTGATCGCTTCTCTAATTTTTTTAATTCCTCTTGATCCTTCGGTGAATGTTTCGTACATAACTTGAGTTCATTTACCCTAACTTTTAGGCGTTTACAACTTTCTCCAATATAATAAGCTTCACATTTCAAACATTTGATTTTGTAAACACGATTGTTTTGTCATCTTAAGAATTGTATCTTTCACTTTGACTAAGATCTTTCCTTGTGAATTTGAAGGTTTAAAACAGAGTTTAATACCATGTTAGGCACATACTGCTTTTATCTGTTCAGAAGTATCTTTTCGATATGATATCGTCATTGATGCCACCCATGATTTTGTTGTACCTTTATTTCAAGAAGTAGTGTTACTTGCTGTTTTATTCATTTGATCGATAATGTTATTCAAGAACTTTTCAGGGTAACCATTTTCCAACAAAGCATTCGTTATTCGCGAGATTTCATTTTTCAAACTAGTGGGATCGGTTGCGATATTTTTTGCTCTGTTCAGTAGGTTTGATGCGACACTAGCCATTTGCGTTAGTTGGATGATCCGATTGGAAGTCTTAATGTTTATCAGAATGTGTTGGTTTTCTGTATATTTTCATACGGAATTTACCTTCAGTCGTTCTTTGGATAAGACAATCTTAAAAGTTCAGAGTGCCGGCCTTAGATTCTATTTCACTAGTGAATTTAATGGAATATGAAACAGAATTTATATGTTCTAGGAATTCCTGTTGGTTCGCTTTCTTAAGAAAAACAAATGTGTCATTTGCACAATAGATAAACTGAATTATGTTTCAACCTACATGTTCAATAAGTGACCGTTTGGCTTTTGAACGTTGTTTGATAATTAACCAAATTGAAGTTTCATTCCCTTGTTTTAATAGAGCAGGATATATATAGGGTGAAATAAATTCATTGTTACACATGGAAAACAGTTCTGGACTCAGTTGCAATTCTAAAAAATCAGGTTGAGATGTATTCGGCTAAATAAAAAACGTTGAGAAAAGTTAAAGTATATCATTAAAGTTGTTCTTGATAAAAGCGTTTAAGAGAACACCTAGAAAACATTTTATAAACCTTTCAATGAATTGATTATTTATCTGGAGATTGACCAGTAGATGTCATTTACATGTTCGGAACTATGAATGCAGTTGCACTGATGAGCAGCAAACTAAATAACCGGATGATGGATATCATAATACACTAGATAAGAGTAGAAGCACATTTTAATAGTCACGACATACTGCAAATCTAATCAGAAAAAATTTAGGACTTCAGAAAAGGATTCACCATCTGATCACTCTTTTTGCTGCATGAATGGGGAAAGATACAAAATGTTAAATGATTTGAGGAAGTCGGTAGACAGCTATGAATCTAAGTTGTGCTAGTTGCCACTCTATAAGAAAGTTCATCTGCAGTCTGCCATAAAAACAAGCGTAAAGATGAGTACTAAGACTCTCTACCCATTGTCTTATCCTACAGAAAATCAAAACAACTGATCAATCAGTCTACACACAGCGTTTCTCTGGATACTTAATGGTTTCTTTTTTCACATATTTCGTTTACAAAAATGCACACACCTGAATATAGTTCTCAACCGAAAGTTTTTAGTTCACCTTCAAGATATTTCAGCTACGTTCGGAAGCCTTATTTATACTTTACTTCACTAGTTTGAAAGAACGGTTCAATGAAAGATTTTAGGCATTGTGAAGTCAGTGCATAAAAATGATAAAATGAATTCTAAGTGATTTAACTAAAATGTGATGTACATGGGTGTTAATATCTAACAGAAATATAGTGAAGAACCGTGCAACTTGCAAATATTGTACAGTAATAATATGAATAATCGTAATTATTTTCTATGGTTCTTAAGACGACACACAGACGGGTGTATTCACTGGTAATGAGGAATTAGTTCCTCCTAGCCTATTTTTAACTCTATCATATAAGTGAAGAATGTTTATACGCTTATGTCTATGGCAGATTTTATCAGAAATTCCACTACAATTCGAAAATAAGACTAAAAACTGCCAGTACAATAAGTGGTTTTCATCATACTGTTCTCAGGACTTCAGATCTCAAAACTCTAAATATGGCCGTATAAATTCGTTATCTGAATGGCTAATGCACAAGGTCACCTAGCAAAATGATATATATATATATATATATATATATATATGTAGCCCTGTTTATAATTAGTCTGAGGTGATAAGAAACTCGTCCAATTTCTTTCCGCTTTGTTTCTTGTTTGGGTTAGGCATCAAATCACGAAGTATAGAACCACTAATTACTGTAACGAGAAATCCAGTCAGTTTTATGGTTTTAAATAACTTTCAGCGGCATCTCTTTAGGTAAATTGATAATGCGCTCAGAAAATTAATAATACGACTAGTGTACTGTCAAGATTACTGAATATAAAAATACGCTTTGTTTTATCACTTCAAAGAGGATAAACGGTTTGACGATTCATGTTCACCGCATATCATAAATGAGTTTTCTAGTCTATTCAAATAAAACAAAGCTAAGTGACATCTGATTTCTTACACACGTGTAGCTAATATTAAAATTTATAGATGAGACGTAGTATTAAAATGTGAGCATTTGTTTCATCAAAGTAAATTGGAAAAGACAATTTTTTATATTTTAGGGGAACTTTATGAATATATACATATACATTCTGATGGAGTCATAATAATGATGAAAAATAAAATGGCACACTCATATGTACTTGAAATAGGCAACAGCAACGATTTGAGTAGAATAGAATGTCATCACTTTATTTCGCCAGTTTTTCTTCAGCCTCTTACAATCTGGATTATCGAATGCAATGACTTGCTCCACATGCCGAACTTTTCAGTAAGAATTACTAGGACAAAGGCTATTCTAACTTTTTGACATCGTCATATAACGTAGAGTCGCTGTTTGTATAAAGAGCACGTGTTAAAGGATGTACCTGAGTTTAAAAAGGTTTTATCCAGTAAGTAACAAATAAGCATGAGTTACAACCAAGTTTTACACAGTAAAAATAACTGCAGGTGAAAAAATTAGAAAATGTGACAGGTAATAGTGAAATGCTTACAAAACAGTGGCTATATGCACACGTTTACCGACAAATATGGTGGAACTAAAAGAAATATCCTGAAGCACAATATAGCTGACAAAAACCTGTACTTTTCCCCTTTGGTCTTAAACGTGATGATGTTTCAGGGACAGTTCACAGGAGACTGAAGACAGTACTGATAAGTATTCTGTCTGCAGCCCAGTTGTTTACTCTGTAACAGATGCGTTCACTACTGCGGTCAAAAATCGACAGGGTACCTGCCTACAACTTGCACGTAGCTACGAAAGCACATATATTGGAAAAATAGAGAGAACGTTATACCTCAGATTTCCTGAACACGTTCCAAAGAGCATACGACTCAGAGGGAACGATAATTTCATCAGTGCAATCATCCTGCCTCCCATAGACATAAAATGCCAGGTGGACGTACTGAAGTTTTCTAAGATAATCAACAAACAAACTAGTCCAAGTTTTCTGTAGTTCACTTAGGCTTAGTCATCAATTCGCTAAAACCGACTCATGTATCCGAAAAGATGTTATAACCCTATTTCTACTTTGAAAACCCTATCCCGAATTCCTTACATTTTTCAAGTCTATATGCTGACTTTTAGTCGCATTTTATTCGATCTTTTTTTATTCAGCCTGATAAATTTTTTATTGACTACTTGGATTAAACTCATTATACAGTCAGTTTTCTCAACTTATTCATCTACTGACTGGCAGTGGTTTGTCTAACCTTAGTTAATTTTTCGGAACTTTAAATTGTGTAGTGTCTACAAACATAACACTTTGATATACTTCCGTTACTTTCTTCGGTTTTATTCTATGCCAAAATATAGATTCCTATCCGTGCTAATAACTTACTAAGTGTTCATCTTCACCAACTGAAACATGTTTAAACTCCATTATATTTAACTGCCTATGATAATCCAGTTAGGCAGTGAGTAGCTAGAGAGAAACTGACAAAACAAAACGGTACCAACTTATTCCACTTAAATTACTGTTTTTTCGTTCTATTTTGAAACTAAAATTAAGTTACAGTTTTGTATTTAACAGGCTCTATTTGTTACCACTCCCTGACAATAGTATTTCGCACTTAGGCACTTTCTTCAATATTTCAGGTTCTGTTTGCTAATTGCTCATACCACTCAACAGAAAGGTTTGCCTGGAAAACTGAAAGACAGACGAAAGCCGGTGTAAACAACCACGAAACTGTGTTGTCACATTTGGCAGCCGAATAAAAAGAAGAAATCATTAGAAGCAGAATGGTATTAAAATGTCTCTATCATCACCAATGATTTCAAAAGGAGTGACCATAGTCAGTTTGATCATTTCTGCTCTTTCAACTATTGATTATATTACTCTGCTTTACCTTTATTTTGATGGGTTACTGTGTTTCTTATGTAATGGATGTGGTTTCTAACTTTTTTATTTTAGATGACACGTTAAATTGGGAAAAGTGAGGTACGTGGAGTAGTGTTTCAAACAACTTTACAAGTAGAATTGATGAAATGGACAACCGAGAAATTACACTCAGTACTAGTGATAAATTAGCACCTTAAATCAGGCACAGATCATGCAGTTTATCTCTGCGCTAAACATTTGAGATAGATCGACTTTCAGTTTATGTTGCTTTTCCGTTTATCTGTTGTATTTTTTTCTAATATTTCTTAATCTTTCTTTCAAAAAATACGATGATTTCATTTTTAATGGAAGTTATACCATATACTACTTAAATACGTTTTTACCAGTAAAACACAGTAGCGGTAGTATTTACTGGCTAATGTATGAGAGATAGCTTGGTTTAAACGTAGGCGTTCAATATTTAGTGACTATTATTAAAAAGATGTATATATTATCTTTCTAGAAAATTATTTGTCAGAAGTTGAGAAACAAATGTCAGATGTATTCAACTAAGTGTCAATTTGCATCAAATGGCTCAGCTGCAATTCAAAAAAAACTGAACTATTGAAATTAATGCATAGCTAGTTTTCAGTATGATTGCTGTACAATTAAAAATCGTACACTATAGGCTGAAAAATGTTCACTGAGTAGTCTATTTAATGTATTGTTCGCAATTCAGCTGAAAACACATATATTCTGACGCATAATTCACTTACTGAATGAAAATGTCTAACTTTGATCGGTTCAAATACGGTAACTCCACATCGTTTACCATAAAGTATTACACGATTTTCCAAACACATGCAGTTTACTGTAAAATAAAAAAAGTCATTGTTTAATGTTATTTCTATAAATATAAATATGTAGCAAGAAGTGATATTGTACTAAACAGTAAACAGATTTATTTTGTTAAACTAAGATGCTCATTTTGAACATATTCAGGTGATTTTTTTTGTGATTTGCTGAAATAGTATTATCAAAATAAATAGTTCAGCAAAGTAAATCCATTTCAATGGATTTACTTTCAAAAGCTGCACACTCGTATATACACCTCGAATTTCTTAATTATTTTATGTTTGCTTTTCATTAGGTATAATATTATAATAATATAATAATATAATATCATATGTAATGATAGTAAGTTGCGTTTAAAAGTCGATAAATAGCTTTGTTGGTCTGGTAAAACTTTGCAAAATATACGGCAATAAATGGGAACATATGGAATGTATTTGCGAAACTAGTGTAATTCAATAATTTAAGAGAATATGACAGTAGTAAGTAACCATATTCTATTAAGAAAGGTTTAAACTAAGTTCGTGGGATATGAGTGATAATCAAGAATTACAAATGGAAGGAAAACACTAATCACAATGATAATAATAACAGTGTGAAACGAAGGAAATTTAAAACAAAATCGGAGACATCTGATCTAACTCGGGATGAGAGTAATCAATGTTTAAGATATTAAAATGTCTTATTAGTTAAGGACTTTAGAACCATGGTAACAAAAGCAATCTGACAAGTTATTTTCTTATGCATAACTCTGGTTTCAAATAATGAATTGCTAAGGTTTCTGAAATATGTAATAAATGAAGACGTAAACCTTTGGGAAGGTTTAGTTGGATTTTTTGAATAAAATCGAATGACGTATTCGAAGCTGAATACTCCGTACCAACCACATGTTGCAAAACAGATAAACTAACTAATCGTCTTAGCCCTCTACTAAACCATACTGGGAGATGCTTTCGAATGCGGCGAACGGTAGACCTAGATGAACGACCTACACATCTAGATCCACAGTATCAGATGGATTGATAAACGCACATTTAACTAGTTAGTCTTGACCACCCGTGCTTCACAGTAGGTCATATTTGAGAGCGATTATGATATGTCATTCCAAGTTTGTAGCAAAAATGTCTCACGAATCGATCTTTCAAGATTGTTTTTCATAATACAGTCAGCAGTATTCCGCTTAAATTCTAAATTTAAGAACGATATTTTCTTCGAACTATTGCTGACTATTGGTGACTGTTAGAGAGTTCCTATTGTTTCAACATTTTTCTTGATGGAACGTAAAGGCTATTTATTTTTCAAAAAGGTAGATTTGGAGAAACTTATTTCCTCTTCTATGCAGTCTATGGGATAAATTTTATAGTATCATGATTAATTAGTATCGGTCAACTATCATAAATAGTATTCTAACTGATGTAAATAGAAATTTCCTGTTAACAACAGTGTTAATGCATCTAACAGTACGATGGCAAATATTGCTTTTTTGCAGATTTCACAAGTAATATGTAAAATCTGAAGATTCAGTCTTAACCATAGTTAATTAGTTAAACCTACAACTAATAATTTTTTGAAAGGTGTTTGGATCCATTTATGTGTACAGTTAAACAAGTGATAGTTTCTCATATCCATCTTACAAAACGAAAATTTTCATATGATAATATTAGTAGACAGATATACAAAATGAACTTGGAACCTCGTGCACAAGCGCATTGGTTGAAATTGTCACACTTCACACTAGTATATAAAAAACTACTAGCTGGAAAGACTGATATCAAAGTAGACAAAGTTGTATGGGGGAGGTGAAATTTGAAGGTATTGGTAGTGAAAATAATGAAGCTTTACAAGAAGTCTAAGAGTGAATACATCTGAACCATTGCGACTGATTTTCACCCATGTCCTCAACCATTGATTCTCATCGTCTCGAGGACCCCATTCCAGTCTACACCTCGCTAAACGGCTCAGATCAACGGTCAGAGGCTTAATGAACTGATGCCACGTCTTAGTTTGATAACCCTGAACTTTCTTTCAATCCAATTTGACTTTTGCTAGTATTGTACGTCAAGGTAAAAATGTTGCTTGACATGCTCAGTACGTGTCTACAAAACATTGACAACTGTAAGATACTAGAATAATCATATCAAAAATGCAATAAAGTAAAAATAATAATAATAATGTAGTGCAAATAAGTTTCAAAAGTTAATGAGTTTATTTTTGAGAACTTGTTTCCAGTGGTAGTTGCGGAAGATGCTTTAGAGTGATAAATATACCAATTTCAATGAAAACAATAAAAGCATAATATTTAAGAAACTGACTGAATCAACAGTTACAGACTCGACAAAACAAAATGATTAATCATCTTGTTCTTCACTAAATAAAATACTGCTTTGCATTGACTTTTCAAAACCTATTCAACATAACTTTCAATCAATTGCCACCGGCTTTTATACTAAACACCAATGGGTATTTACAATATAACCGAATGACACTTAAAATGAAGTTTTTCATGTTATTATACAGAATGTTATATAAACCTACTGTAAACACTTTGACCTGGTTTAAAATTAGTCTAAATTTTCTTAATTTCTAAGAAAAGGAACCTTATGGGAGATAGAACAAGTAATTAGTTAACAACAGAGCAAGAACAATAACTACCCAGAGCAATTGATAAAAGTAACCAATACCACTTCATATTCCTTATACTGACTATACTTTTCCTACCAACTTTGCAATATAACTACTGAAAGTGGTTATTTGACATCAGGTGTAGTGTCATTGACGCCGGTTGCCTAGAGCTCATTGATAGAAAGTTAAGGGTTCATATTTCGTATTTTGTAATAACCAAGAGAAAAGTATATCTGCAACATCACGAGGATTAATCCATCGTCGAATACCACAACTCTTGCAGTAAACCTCCTGAAGTTGTATTTTAATCAATCGATAGGTTTTAACCGTTGCTAATAATTCCAAGGTAATCAATTTAATAACATGATTTACCTTTTACTTAAACTTTCGTTTTGCTAAGCTTAAAATAAAAAAACACTAACGGATGGGATGCATATTCCGAAGTCAGGTAACAATGAAAGGATCTTAAAAATTACATTTGATTTCGGTTACGAATACCACTCAAAGTAGATAAATAACATTTATTCACTTATGTTTGTGGCTTTCTAATAGGCCGAAGTCACAAAGTATCTAGCGAATCCCACTAAAAACAATGTCTTGCTTTATCAACATGTAAAACGATTTCATTTCCTGACTTAGTTAAATCATCATAAAAATTTTTGTTCAGTTAACACTTACTCACTGTCAGACATACATTGCCAACGGGAACTGTGATCATTTCAATTTCTTCGTTGAATAAACACTTCCCTTTATCTTTAGTTTCTTCATTCAGGAACTTCTGATCACTTGTAACAGGCTGTATAATTGTTTAAATACAAAGCCGAATAACTATTTCTGAAACTAATCACCGAAATTTCATGGGATAAAACACTAAGTAATTGTGTAGTTAGTGAAATATATTACACTCATACGTGTTCTTGTGAACACATTCTAAGATGAAAAGATGATACAGTCGAAATGAAACTGATGAACCAAGTGTGTAAAGTTTAGTTATCAGTTTGGTCTAAACGACAAATCGCTTATTTGATGTTCACAGATTCGGACTATTTCTAACCGTAACTACCAAAAATTATCTTTGCATTTTTGCCTGTTACCAAATGATATTATTGAACAACAGAGAAGGTAACTTACTGCAAATTGTGTTTCATTTTCATTTCTTAAATATTACTAAAACTCGTCTTGCCATTTTTGCTTCGTTAAAGTTGTTTCGGTCAATGAATAAAATTGGACTGGTTTACTTATTCGTTGGACTTGGTCTGAACCGTATGCGAAGATGGAGACTACTTGACTGGGGTGCCTGAGATGAAGGAAATCAGTGGCTGATGACTCTTCGTGACATGGCTGAAAATGGATCACAGTGTGGCAGATGTATTTACTCCTTGACATACTCTAAACCTTGAATGTTCACACTAACCTTTATCTTCGAATTCTTTATTATCCCACACAACATTTTTTACTTCAATGTCACTCTTCCATCTACCTTTTCTTTGAATACTACTGTGAAGTGTGGCAACTGGAGCCGATACACGTGTGTCAGGTTCCACGTTGAATTTATCTGTCTGTCTTCAATTGTGCAGTTCGTACAAATGTTTTAAATTTATATCAAAAAACTAGTTTTGGTTTCGGAATGCACCAGTCTTAAACATAAACTACAATATGTGAACTCCCTATCATGAAGGTTAAAGTATCCCAATAACTGTGTGAACTTATTTGTGATTTTGTGGTGGACAACAAATTGGTTGATTCGGAACTACTATTTCATACTACTTGTGGATTTTTTTATCACTGGTACTTCATTTATCAATTCATATATAGTGTAAAATATATCGCTTATTCCTGTTCGATGGGTTTACAGTCCACCTTCCATTACAATTGCCTGCTGATTAAAGGTTTTACCAAGCATTACCAATTTATTGGTTTTCAAAAACATTAGTAGCTTCCATTGATTCTTGAGACAGAATATATGTATGAAGCAGGTAATTACAAAATACACAAGGGAACTAGAAAGCATAAACATGATATCCACTTCCAGAGTAGAACTCGGTGATGAAAGTCAAAACTGCATAACCAAGATAAGGTAAAGACATAGTTTGCAAACTCATGAAGATTTAACCACACATTGTATGGTAAATTACGTTTAGAACGCTTTACCTAAACAGCGAAACAGTCACAAACTTGTCTAAGCCTTCAAAAAATCAACTCAATACCTTAGGTCTATGATATATCCGACGAATACAATGATCTGATATATTACTCCTTTTCAAACATGTACATTCCAAAGCCTAGTTTGAATTGATATAAGCAGTAAAAGTGTTAGCTTTGTAGTGGTTTGTTGAGTATACTGTATAATTTATTAGTACAAATTTGACAGAAGGGAAACTTCACTCGAAGGGTATTTAATTCCCCTACCTGGTCTTTGAAATGCAGTGAAACAATACATTTCTCAACATCTGAGTATTTATTTTTTGCATACTTGCAACTCCTGATTGTTTTACTTGACAGATTCATCAACCTCTGCTTTTGTAAGATCTTCTTCAAATGACACCTTCACACTATCTAGAGTTCAATTTAGGGCTAATTATTTCTTTGTGCTCATTTAAGAAATACACCTGACGACTAGATATCTGTGTAAACCACCACCAAACAAATAAAATCATAATGAAATTCGATGATGTGTCTATGGATCAGTTCTGGGGACCCATACGTAAAATGAGATCTACACATCTGTTCCAGAGAGATATACCAAAAAAAATACAAACATTCACATAACCTGAAATCAATAAATAAAATCCCCAAAAACCTCAAAATTAAATTAATCTAGTGCTCATAGGTGACTAGCTTAAAGAGCTGATTCCCAAAGTTCTGGTGTGAATTCGTGACCGGTGGGGCGACATGACCCGAAATTGAGGGTAGTCATTCAACGATGGCATTGGATGGAGGTCACGCTATATCGTGGTCTGATAGAAGTAGAAAACATGGACCACTGGATACCAACCCATTGGCTCAATGGCAACGTAATGGCCGTGGAACCTGAAAGTCGTCATCGTTAGCATAATACCAGGCATTACTGCATGACGGTCCCAGATGCCACACCTCATATCAGCACATCAAGCAAAAAAGCAATGAAGTGAAAGATGAAGGAAATAAAATTCAGTCAAAAATATAAAGTACGAAAAGAGAGAAGGGAAGAATGATAAAATGGTGAGACTCAGTATAGCGTCGTTAGGATGAGGATAATGAGTGTACACATCTGCGCCACTGACATCGGTTCTGAGCCATATCACCCAAAGTCTCCAACCACTGATTCCTCTTGTCCCATGAACCCTAACCACCTGGTCTGCATTCCCCCACATGGCTCAAACCAACAGTCAGAGACTTCATACATTGATGCTTTATTCCAACATGAACATACTTCGGCCAACATTGTGACAAGGCAGACGGTGAATAGGCATACGTAACATGTGTCCTAACCATCTTAGTTGATGAAGGTTCGCAACCGTGTCAACTGAGTTACGTCTTCTCCCTAAAACTTTACACCTAACTTCTGCATTACTCACATGGTGACTCCATGGAATACGGTCTACACTACTAAGGCAACGATGGTCAAACACCTGAAGCCTTCTCATGTATTCCACCTTCAATGTCCATGTTTCACAGCCATACAGTAGGACGGACCGGACTGCTGTGCAGTACATGCGACCCTTAATAGACAATCGGATATCATGGCGGCGCCAAAGTGGCGTCAGTTGGCAAGAGCCAGCCGAGCTCTTTGTATCCGTGCAGAAATTTCATCGGCCACTGAGCCACCAGGACTGATCTTACTTCCCAGGTAAGTGAAGTGGTCGGCACACTCAATCACTACACTCTCTATTGTTAGCCGAGGCACTGTTGGAGACCAACTCTAGAGCAACAATTTGCATTTGGGTGGTCAAAAACGCACCCCAAACATTCTCACACTGCCACTCAAAGTGTTCAGAAGACTCTGCTTCTTGTCAGCGTCTTCACCTAACAGGACTGTGTCATTTGGGTATTCTTGGTCTAACGAAAATTCTCTCGCGTTTTGGTCAACCTCTGTGTAGTCAGGTGACGAGATGGAGACCTCCATAAGAATATCTATGGTAAAATTGAATAAGAATGGACACAGTGAGCACCCTTGATGGCCACCACTCGCTGAGCATAGCTCCCTGGACATCTCACCATAGGCTCTAACACCCCCACAAGTGTTCGAGTAGAGAGCCTCCAAAAAGGTGATGTACTTGCTCAGCACGCCTTTCAGTGAAAAACATTACTATAAGACTTTTATTTCAACGGAGCCAAATGCCATCTTCAGGTCGAGAAATATAGCTACTGTCGGGCTTCCTTAAGCGTGATTGTGTGCCAGAGCCTGGCGCAGTAGAAATATTCGGTCAGTCCCCCCTCCCGGGGTCGGGTCTGCAGCCTGCGTGTTTTCCTCGAGCTTGCCGTTTCCGAGCTACACTCAGGCGTCAAATAATTATGGAACCTAGAATCTTAAACATTATGTTCGTCAGACTGATTCCTCTGTGTTTATAACAAGAGGACTTCTCGCCTTGCTTGAAGACTGAGAAAATCAGTGATTTAGACCAGTCAGAGGGAATCATATTTGATTCCTATATACTGGTTAACACTTCCGTTAACCTGACTAAGAGCATCCTGCCACCATCCTTGTATTATACCTCGGGAGTTATTCCGTCTGGTCCTGCTGTCCTTCCTCGTTTCAGGTTACCTACAGTGATGCGTCAACGTGCATCCTTAGTTCAGAAGAAGCTGATGATATCCTTTGGCTCTTTTTAGCCTCCATTTCGTGGTCAGCTACGGTCTTCAGCGCTGACTTTACACCAGACTGGAGATAGCACCAACCTTCTTCTCGATGAGTGATAGTCTTCCGTTCCGATAACTGCCTAGACAACTTCTCACTGAAAGCGGCTTTGGTGTTTTCGTTGTCCACCAGCACTCGTAGTAGTTTTGTTGCCAAATATTCCCTACATCCATTCAGACGCAGGCATATACGCACTCGGGCCAACGCGCGGTCGCTATCCAAACATGTACTCCAGAAGGAGTAGCAGTCTTCCACCGATCCTCTCCAGCAATAACTGATAGCAATGTGGTCTATCTGTGTTCATCGTTGAGTTGAGCTCGGTGGACGCCACGTCACACAGTGTCTTTCTTTGTGTCTGAAATTTGTGCGAACTAAAAATTAGCGGTTTCTGAGCACAGTTGTAGTAGGCGGTCACTGCTATCTTTTCGTCCAACCGGGATGCCAAAAGTGCCACTCAACTGCCTCTCTACCTCACTCAGTCTAACCACCTGTGCATTGAAGTCACTTGCAACAACCACCACATCTCAGCGATTGGCTTTCGTGAGGAGGCTAGACGGTTTACGGTAGAACTCGTACTTCACTGCATCCGAACTGCAGTCAGTGGGTGCGTAAGCAGAGATTACAAAGAGACAACAGCGAGTCTCACTATTCCTTTTAGTTCTCACTGTGCCGTTCAGTCGGAGAGCACAGAAGCGACTATCTACTGGGATCCAGTCTAGTAGTGAGTTCCCCCCCCCTTGTGCTAATACTATGTCTACACCTGCAAGGTCGCAAGAGCTAGCTACCGAATCTCCAAAAACCCGAAGGGTGGATTTCGCGGACTCATCAGATTGGCAGGGAGAGGTTAGGTGAATAACCACACTTGAGTCCTGTATGCATGTCTCACAAACACAGCGCACACCCATGGCCTGAGTTGCTAGACTCTTGGCCAATGGAGCCTGTTGACCAATTCGACGGAGAGTGCGGATATTGAAGGCCCCGATGTGTAATTTGGAGCCTGGTTTAAGGAGACCAGTGATGCTGTTCTGTGGATTCAGATTGTTGTCGAGGGCTGCAGAGATAGGAGAAATTGAAGATGATGTAGTACCGTTAATTCAGAGAGGTGAATGAAGATTAGAAGGTAATGATGAGGGAGGTGGATATTAGTCTGAAGAAACTTGAGTGCTGATAGAGTTGTGAGGGCAGTTGACCCTTCCCGGCTGCCCATACCATGGAAGGCTATTTCTTCTTAAGGTAACTGAAAGAGATTTGTGTGACCACAGAGCCCATCGGACATTTGCCTGAGGCCTGTCACACTCAGCCTTTTGTGTATGATTATTTTGAACTTTTGTTATTTTGGCGCCGGATCGTCGAAAAGAGACAACAAATGAGCCAACACTGCCGGCCTGGCAGACCGTTGGGTATGATGGAGTGTGTTATTTCTGATGTAGACCTCTTTCAGTTAGTTTGGGTCTTTCTCAGAGAAATAAATCTTGTCTACCCGTCTCATCTTGTACGGCTTTCAGTAGTATGGAGACACTATTCCAGTGATCAGTATCTACCATCGTATGTTGAAGTGTTGAAGGTGCATAACAGCCGTTTCTAATTCGTACCCTATGAGTTAAAATAAATCCACAATCGAGTATTATTCGGCCACTTCGCACCCGGTGAACAAACGGTGATACTCTTGACTCAGAAACCGAAATCTTGACACTGACATCTGAGGCAATGTAAGCTGGTTTTAGTTTCAAAGAAAACACCACTCACAATGATGCTGAAAACTCCCCATTAAAGATTAGGTCCGCATCCTAGACTCGAAAGAAAAACTTGAATTTTTAGTTCTAACAGCCTGTAGTTTCCACACTTACAATCCATCGTTAATTCTTTCTTGCATGTTTAATGACGATAATTTTCTCTTTCAATTATAGGAAGTTTAAGCCAATCTGCACTTCTCTCTGAAAGAAAAAATACTCTTGTTGTAACTATTGTTCAATATATCTATCCTACCTATGGGTGAGTTCTGAGGTTTCATCAGCTTACTTTGAGTTTCATAGATTATTATTCTAGTGCGTTCAGGTATTCATCTCATTTGGCCCTGCTGATCTTGTAATCCATGTCACTTTAGACCATTTGGTATTTGATAGGAAGCTTTGAAATGAAATCGTTTTTCTGACCATCTTTTCAATCTTTTTGGATGGAGTTCACAAAACTGACTGCCCACAAAGTAAGATTCTAATAATTTAGAAGTTTCAAAACTCTTGCATTTATATTTTAAGCTGAAACAATGTTTCAGCTATCAAATAACTTCCAAGTACCTTGTAAAAATGGTCGTTGCTTTATTCGTCCTTCCTTATTTTTACTCTCTTTATTATTCTTACTTCCCAGCACAATATTTTCAAAATGTTTATCTTTTGCACTCACTTCTAGTGCTGGTAGCAATGACTGAATATTCAGTAGTTCTTTTCTGTTATCACTAATCTGTGCAGTTACTTGAGTTCTAAAGTCTCTTAGAATAATTTTGAGTTATTTATCGACTCTCAGTAGTGACAATTAAATATTCTGACTGTAAACCGGTTTTAAAAATTGCGTAACCAGCATTCTTTTTGAGACTGGATGACATCCTATGATATGAACAGAGAAACAACGGCGATATTTCTTTGGAATCCAACAAAAAATCTCTCAAAGTATTTACAACTCGCTTGTTGATTGTACTTATCACAAAATTATCATCAGTGATCAGTTAGATGCAGATCACATCTGTTCAAAATTATTAATAACTGTCAACTGACAGTGATATTTTCAAAATACTGTCTACTTGTTTACCACCTTCATTACATGATGATGAAAGATGCATTAAACAATGAACTGGGGTACAGGTATATCCAGCTGACAAGTCCCAAATCGGACCAAACGTGCATCCTGGATGCCACTGATAACCACCACCAAGCAAATTACAACATAATGGGGCAAAAAAATTACTTTGAAAGCAAATCTAATTCAACTTACAGTCCAGAAGCATATATAAGGTATATTTTCAGTTATGTTAATTTCACATCGACTAATAAGAACTAAAAAACAATAAATATATTACTGATAAGAGCTCATCTTCATTTTTTCACACAGCTGCTCGATTACTCAACGTTTCAACACATCAAAAATAATACAGCTGACTACTTTAATGTTGGAATCCTTTAAGTACAAAATCAGAACAATATGTCTATCTGTAGTCCCTCCTTCACCTATCTAGGCAGCACTGTTTCAACTACAGGCGGCGGTGGCACAAACGAGGACGTCAAAGCCAGCCAGGAGCAGAAAGACAGCAAGACAGGCGTTCATTAGCCTGAAACCAGTGTGGAGATCTTCTGTACTCAGCATGTGGGACAAAATTCGGCTTTTCAACACCAACATCAAGTCAGTACTCCTGTATGGTTCAGAGACGGCGCGTTACGAAAGGTGCTTCCAAGAAACTACGGACATTCATCAACAACTGCCTACACTGGCTCGTTACTGAAGATCAGATGGACAGAAATAATAAGCAGCAAGGAACTCTGGCTGGCTGGCAACGAACCAACGAAGCAAGAACCTATCGCTCAACAAATATGCACTGGAAGGAAGTGGAGATGGATTGGGCATACACTGAGAAGGCCGACTGGGGACATCACGCGTCAGGCCAGTTGCTCGAGTGGAACCCCGATGGGAAGCAACGAGTTGGGCGTCCGAGGTGAGGGTGACATGGGGGAGATCGTGCGAGGAGGAAATGACAGCTTGTGGGCTGTCTTGGAGCCAGGTTGGAAAGGTTTCAGAGAACAGAGTGCACTAGAGACGTGCTGCTGAATCCCTATGTTCCATTACGAACCCGAGGGATAAATAAAAATAATAAATCTATCTATAGTTACCAATTAATATTCACCTCCCACTAACAATTTCAGTGCGTTCCATATCAGATTTGTTCATTTGATTTATAACACATAGTTATACAGCATTACTTACTTGATCAGGTTTTGAGCATAAATCACTTATTCCTCATAATCATATCGATATAATCACACTACTTTTGACATCAAATTTTTGTAGTACTGTCACCTCATATTCATTGCTCTTATTGGTAATAAGATTTTCTATGTCTCTGGTATAGGTGTCGCATCATTTCTATTACATGTGTTGGATGTAGATTCGATGAAGAGAGATTCAGTAATGCATCTCTCTTTCTCCACTTAATTATGTTGGACTTAAGTACATTGGTTTTTCCCACACTATTGTGTGGTTGTGTGTTAATGCATACATTACAATAGCCGATTATCTCTAGATTATTGATCTTATTTGGATCTGTCATTCTATATCTTGCTAAACTCTTAGGTTCGGCTATTCTAACGGACCTGCTAGTTTGACCTATGTACCTGACCTCACAGTCACTGCATGGAATTTGATAGATTAGATTATTTTGCTGAATTGGTTCTATCAGATCCTTAGTGTGTATTTTACTGGAAGATAACACTTAAAAATATTTACCATGATTTTTATCCAAACTTCCAATAATATGTTAGTAACATGGCAATTATTTGTACCTTATTGATGTATACTTAAAATTTGATCATCAATGTGCATCGAATGAGGAAAAACTATCAATTGTTATTTGATGAAGTACTTCAGTATGGTAAGCAGAACTGCATGAACTGTGGTACACGTAAATTATACTTGAAAATAACCTCTTACTAAATCATTTATTCAGATTGAAAGTATTTCTTATTCATAATCAGCATAGTAATTATCTCATATGGTGTTATGATTATAGCTGATTGTGGTTCAAGCGGAGCACCTCGAAAAACACATATTATAACGGAGAACACAACTGAGAATATGCCCCAAAATAAGGAAGTCGAATATACATACCAAAGAGTAGTGCCCGTTGATCATTTTTACAAAAACATATTACATTCTGAAGCTAATTAAAACGGGTTCTTAATGGGTTGGAGGCAGTCGAAAGGAAGCCCACTTGATCAAGGTTTCGCGATTGTTGACAATCGTTAGAAAGGTGCATCTGCAGCCATGAGGAAACCTATATCCGCTCTGATATTCGAAACCGCGTCACCCAGTGTTGCAGCCAGCGATGTCGCCAGTGAGCTATTTGGGCCACGATTTACTTCCAGTAGGACCGAATTAGATACACTGATTGGTCACTGAAGAGCAAACAAATTCATGTCGTCTGGTCCTGAGTGCTGACCAAGGATTTGTGCTCTCTAGCACTCTAGTTAGTTTCGCCGACTACAACACTCGATGACACGGACTCGAATTTTATGGGGAACATGAGTTCCCTCATGGTTGCAGATGCGCCTTACTGGCGTGTTCCGACAAGCACGAAACCTAGATCAAAGTCTCATATGCTCAGTAGTATATATCGTTAGTTGATGACACTTATGTTAAAAAACATACACTGCGATTCAAGTTAGGTGGTTTCAAATGAAAAACTACAGTTGGTCAGCTAATAAAATTACTCAGCTGTGAGAAACGTCAGTGTTGGCCGTGCGGTTTGCAAACTGATCATCCGATTATTACAATTGTTTGGAAGGATAATGATAATTTACTCCAAACAAGAGGTGTGGTATAGCAAGAAATTTCAGCACATAATAGTTCAACATACTCATTCCCTGTGAAATTTCTTTAAACGAAATAATCACTGCATTGAAATTATGTCAATAATAACATTAATGAACGTGACAATATGAAACACGCACTTCGTATTACATTGGCGTCTGGTTTGGACTGGTAAATGAATAGAAAATCGAGCGTAATTTTGGCAGTGGTATTTTATGCAACTAGCGACAAAATCTGCAATTCGACATGATTTTCTAGGAAATTGTAATGCGGTATATTTCTTTACATTTATAAGCCCATCTGTTACCAGCTTGTCTTATTCTTTTTGTTATCCGCTTGAAAAATGGCAGTTTGGAACCATTTTAAAAGTTTGCATGAGGACCTGACTCATTTAAAAGACATTTAAAAGATTAAAATACATTGAAAGAGAAGAATCTGAAGGGATAAATTCGGTCTGAGGTTTTCGGTAGCCCAAAATTTAAGCAGACCACCTGTTGGACCTATTCAAGATGATCAGTAACTAAATTATCATAATGTCTCCCGATTGATAATAGCTCTCTGAGGGAATTGATTAGTTGAAGATTACTAATTTTTAATTCTTTTACACATTTTTATGACGAAGTAGTTTTCCTCTCATTTATGACAGGATACAATCTAGATACAATGTATGCTGACATTTTGATATAAAAACCTTTTAGTGACGAAACATAGTTTTTGATGCTTTCATCAAATAAACTTGATATTGTTTTAGTACTAATTGTGATAAGACGGTATTTTTATACGTTGCTTTATTACCGCCTACTATAATGTCACCGCTTTCCAAACTTTTGTTGTTGGTGATGAACACCTACTTGAAATCAATAAATAGACCCCTACAAAAGTCAAAATTGAGTTACTGTCTTGTGCTCATTAGTGACTTACCTCAAGATGAGTTTCCTAACATTCTAGTGAGAAGTCGTAACCGGTCAGGTAAACCAAATCAGATGCGTAGGCATTTACTCAGCGATAGCGTTGGGGGTTAGGTCACGCTATATAGCGAACTGATAGGAATGCTGAAGTGCGAACCGCTGGATTTCAACCCAGTGGCTCAACGGTTAGGTGCTGGCTGCGGAACTTGGGGATGTTGGGTTCAACCCCTGGTGGGGTCATGTGTGTGCATTCCTGAGCAGTCCCATATTGGGACAATATAGTGATCGAGTGCTCCAAGGTTTTCAGTAGTTCTCTAAGTGATATCAGTCCATGGCGAACACTACTTCATATCTAATTTGTTGGTATTTAAAGAACAGTTATGCTTAACGCTTTCTCTTATTGACAATCCGCCTTGAGACAAAGAAAAGCATAGAACAAGGTATGCTTTGGTGTTTTGTAAAAGTGATCATCATCACTCCACGTTTTTAAGCAAATCTAAATATAACTATTTTACAGCTTATAAAGTACTGGTAATAATGTTATAATGTAGTTTAGGAAATATACTTATACAAACCCATTTCAATTATTTAGCAAGAAAATCTTATTGATCAGTTAAAACTCACTGTTGTTTAACTTGAGATTTGAAACAAGTAGTGTATCTTCAACTCCAATACTGCCAATTGGTTCACCACTTTTGTTTTGGATATTATACACCCGGAAAGCAAATGCAACTAAATGTACAGCTTCATCAGGCGTCCCATAAACATACTCGTATCTAAAATGGTGATAAAAAATCCATGATAAAACACCTTGACGATGATTATTCATCTCCTGAAAGATATTTGGCGATATTTAGTCTCTTGTTAAGTTTCAGTAGATGGAATTTTTAGAATTTCACTCAGGTGAAGTAATATTTTGTTAACTTTTGTATATCCTTTGCAGTTTATGCTCCTGTGAAAGCGTTTTTTACAGAAATTCAACCATACTAGTAACTAGTTTATATCCACTGTACTTTATTTCACTTATCTCCTACTAATTGTTAATCATGTGCTTAATTGTCAGGTTACTAACAGGTTTACAACAATAGCTTCGTTTTCGAAGCCAGCATCTCTGGAAAAAAATGTAATATTGTAGTCTCTATAGTACAACAAAAAGTATGAACAAATTCTTGCATAATGTTGGGTTATAAAATACTGGCTACATATAAGCCATTTATTGAACCGTCCACAAGCATTCGTGTCAGCAGAAATTAAAGATTTAAGTGCAGGTTCGTTTGCCTTCTCCTCTTATACACCTTATATACCTTGATATCACTCTTTTTCAACCCACTTTGTATTCTACTACTTTAAAGTGGGGCAACTTGATTTGATGCACTTGTGTGAGGTTCTACGTCAAATTTGTCTGCCATTAAATATTTATCATTGAAAGCGAAGATGTTATCAGTAAGCTTTACATGGATTATAATCGTTTGTGGCACTGGATAATGACAAAGAGTGGAAAGAAAATCGTTTTCTATCTCTTATCTGTGAACCAAGCCAAAGAGTCTTGGTCACTCATATTATTTACTTAAAAAATATCAAACTCAAAGAGATCCAGATACAGTGAAAACTGACTTTTGTAAATTGTCATCAGTGTGATCGTGAAAGGTTTTTCATGTGTTTAGCTGGATTTCGCACGATGAAGTTAAATAGCCATCATTAATAACAAAAGATACGAGTAAGCGTATATTCTGGACTATTTTATTATCTGTAATGCTTAGGACTTTACGTGCTTTATAAGCTAATAACAATCATTCGTTAATTTGAGAACAGTTTGATTGATCTTTTTGCATGCCAAAGTTATGATACTTGAAAGCGTTCGATTTCCTGGTTAAACGCATGAATTGTATCAGCTAATTAATTGCAGAGCACTTCAGGATCTCATTCAACCGACAGTTGAATTCACACCTTTATTTGAGATTCAGAGTTTAAAAACTTGTGAAACTGGGAGCTGTGAACAGAAACCGAAAATGACAGTTTAGTGGTAAACGAGAAAACCATAGAGATCAGTTTTAAAGTGGTTTGAAAAGGACGATCAATATTTTTTGGTCTCTAAATTTAGTGTGTACTGTGAATAATTTATTCACCCAGAGAATTACAACATAGAATGTTTACTAGATTGCAAGCCATATTTATTTTGATCAAGTCGAAACATTTATTTGTACATTAAACCTACCTAATATCGATATCTTCATATTCCACAAAATTTAATTTCTTCTGTAAATCTTCTTTTTGCATGGTTACAATCTATTTTTTTGTAAACGTTAAGTTTATACAACTGTAAGCATTGAATTACCTTGGTGAAATCCATCAAAGTTGTTTTGATCTGATCAATCAGTTTAGTGAATGCACTCAACAAATGCAAGTATATTTGAGCAAGTAAACTGAAAAAAATATAATTTACTGTGAATAACGATGAAATTTAAGCAGTAGGTAAAGAGATACAAAAAAAATGTCCACTTAAGTTTACATTACTCGTAATAATAAATAATAGTGTAGTGTCTGACATGAGGAGTTGAAATGTCACTAACAGGAGAGTGGTTTGCACGCAGCGAGTGACATATGTTCATTAATGTCAGGTTATTCTTTATATCCTGAAAACAAAACTACTCAAAATTTCTTATTCCTTGTTTTACTTCACTTCTTATTCTATTTCATCATCAATATTACCATTATTTTATTGTATTTGTTTATAGAAGAGATACTTTTAACTTCAATAAATAGCTGAGTTAAATTCTGTTGATATCTAATGTCGACATCTGAAACACTACATAATCTACTTCCAAAAGTCGTACACTAGGCTCGGTTCGCTAAATTGGATTGATTCAGATACATTGTAGATCAACCTAAAATGAGCAAAACGGCAATCTAGTATTCAAATCATATTGATGTAGCGAGAAAGCTTTTCTGATTGATGTTGAATGATGTGCGACAATAGTGTATGTTAAACTGTCATGTAACTGAGAACTTTGATGTATTTAGTAGCTGAAAATAGATGAAATACTTTTCTGTCGAAATACTCTTTTCTAATGAAAACTAACATGGAATTTTGCAACTAGCTCCTAGTTATTATTTATACTACTCATATTTTAAACTGAATTTCATAAAAGCTATGTCCCTGTGCGTATTAGATTGTTTATTCGATATAGCACACAGTGATACAATATAATTTACTGGATGACATTTCGAGCTGAGTTTATTGTTCATATCCATATCTAAGTGTAAGCAGTAAGTTATAATGTATCACTGTGTGCTATTCCACATAAACAATCTAACATGGAATTATAGGCTACCACAGTGCCCATGTTTTTCACTTAAATCTATGTCTTTGTCTTTCTGAGCACAACCAATTTATCATTTTCATTCATCATTGCTAACCAAGATCTTTCACGATTGATATTCAGGTATCAGAACTAAAATACAAATCTATTGCAGATTTTAGCTAAGAAACAACTGACGAATCTAGAACACAATCCAACAACACATCAGTATGATAGGCAATACTCGCTAACAGGACAGGTGAAGATGGCAGTGTTAGAAAATCAGTACAAATGAAGAACAGAAGAATTCAAAAGTCAGTGAAATTTCTTTCCATACACTCATCACCTAGTTTGGTATACATTAAAATCTGATAACATAATATTATAGATCACTTACTTCAAATGTGCATACTGTTCTTCACCTGTAATAATTATAATTACATTTTGTTTGATTAGATTTTCAAATTATCTATTACTTACCTAATTTTAATGACTGTTGAATAAAATAAGTTCGTTCACAAGACATTCCAATATATTGTTCACTTCCATGAATAATCTATTTTTAAAAAAAACGAACCATAATCAATTCAAATGACTTTGACAAGAAAAGTATTAGGAAATTAGTGCTTCTACAGTATACTTAAAATTATCAATCGAACTGACTACCAAGTAAATAGTAGATCTCATGTTGTATTTCGAGACAATTTTTTCAAATATTTTACTTCGGTTTCTCAAAATGTATTTTAGAAGATATGTAAATGTGCAAGTCTTTCATAAAGTGTTTCGTAAATTGTATTTCATATTCAACAATCTCTTCACAAACGTACTTTATTATGCTAAATGTAAGATGACTTTTCATCTGTTCAGAGATTCTAGGTACTGCAATAATTTAAACTCTTCATGAAGCTGGAAATAATGTCAGTGTATCGAAATCGTTTTCAACAAACTAATAAAACTCAACTTGTTACGGTTTCTTGAAGTGCTTATGACCAAAAATGACTTAAAAATAACCTCTTCAAACGAAAAAATAAAGTTATCAATCTTGCTTTACCTTGATTACTTAAATTTCATGACCCTTTGCAGTTTCAGTTTCTCTTTCGATCGATTGCAAAACCTACTTCTACTAGCTGCCTTGTGTTCATGTAATTACTTCATATAATGAAAATCTGTTAACCTTTTGTTATGTTTGTGTAAACATGATGTTATCGTTTTAACGGTTTAAGAATAATTTAGTCTACAACTACCTCCCAACCTCCATCTTCTGTATCAATAATTAACCTTAATGTTATTTTAACAACATCAATCTCATTCAGCCTACATCTCTGTTATCTTCCATCTCAGTCAACACACTATTATCAAATTTATGAAACTATATTGCACACCTTGTTCTTTTAATCGTAAACATTGCATTCTATGAATTGTAAAACATCTAAGGACGCATAAAAGACATGCGTACTATTATTCTTATTCTTTTATTCAAGTTTATGCATAGGAAAAACTGTATCACCATATAAAAATATATTCAAAAATACCAGTGGTAATCATTAATAAATTTGTTTTAAAATTTTGTTAAAGACGATTTCCTTGAACAAGCTGATATCAGAACGGCGTGTTAAACATTGGAATCATATTGACTACACACTTTAAAGATTGATCAATACATAGCTGATATCCAACGTTCACCTATTACCCGGTGTCCAATATCAGTAAAAGCGAATCCTGAACAAACTTCACTTATATATATATATATATATATATATATATATATATATATATATATATATATATATTCCACATACTTTCTTATCTATATAGCATTTAGATAAATTTTAAAGAATACATTGTTTAACATTGAACCCTTAGTACTCATGAACTAAAGGTATCCACCTATCTATATATTTCCAAACACGTTTTTATCCAGTCATAGGCACAAATAACTTTAGGGTTTTTAGTCAACGTTTTCTTCCTACATTACAACTCTTCAGAAGTGTTTATTCAACACTTTTTACACAATGTGGTTAATCGAATTTTCGAAAACTCAATACAAAATTACTTCTTCTTACTCATCTTTGAACTATTTTTAGTTGTAGAAATACATTGGAAAACAAATTAGATCGGTAGCATTTATATTTGCATATTCTTTGATTTGATAGAAAAGTCAGTCAAAATAGAAGTTAATCTAGGGCAGAGTGAAGGGTGTCATTAATGAATATTCACTGTCTTGAGTTCAGTAAAGGCAAAGGGGGAAAAATCATCCTAAAAAACTTGTCATTTCGATAATTTTGTTTTCAGTCAATTTATTGAAATAGACTTTATGATTGAGATATTTATATAAAAAATACATAGGAAAGAGATAATATTTTGACTGAATTGATCTAATCGATTTCGAAAATGAACTTACCATATGAGTAGTATCATTCATGTCGTTGGAATCTTTAAGTGGGGAAGTGAATTTTAAGCAATCTTTGCATGTATTTACACCATAAAGTATGTATAAAGGTTGCCTGCTAGTGAATAATGTGTAAAACTGAAAAAAAAAACCACCTTTTGACACCACTATTTTCTTTAATGGAATAATTGAACATGCTTGCAAGCGCCTAGAATTATGATTGCAATAAATAATAGTGATGTGTTAAAACTTTACTTCAACGTGATTCCTAGTTAGAGTATTCATAGGGTTCGTCTGGTAGGTTGAATCAATTGAACGAAGGACAACCTCAAATGAGCTTATAAAAGATAGCATGGTCTAAAATAGATAAGAATAGACTCATATTATTACCTTTATCAGAAAGAATAAACATTCTTATAATTATCAAAGGTAAGCTACATAATAAGACAAATATTTCGTAGTAGACAATATTTCTTCAGGGGAATCCTACACACTGCATAAAAATTGACTTCAATAACAATAAATGAAATGAGCAGTTGATTAAAGTGTCCTGGAAATACTACAGCAGCTGTAGTTTATTATTTTCAGAAATGATATATAACACTGTTAGCGACCTCAAGCAATCCGATGTATCTAGAAAAGCACTCAACTGGAAATACTACTTTTTTGATAGTATGCTGGAATTTGATGCAGTGAAACTGACCAAAGTAAACTTGACTTTAAGGGTTGATATAATTGTTAACATGCAGTTTAACTTAAAATTTCAATTGTTCATTTAGACTTACTCTGCTGATAACAGACTCAATGAATACAGGATCTATTTTTTTTAATAACTGGTGAAGGTCATCTTCCACATCAATAACCTGTAGAAAAGAGCCGAATAATTCCTTTCAGACATTGTTTTACCTCACGAGATAGAGTGAAAAATTCCCTTGATGACCTAGTGTAATGCAAAATGCAAATATACTAACAGTGAGAGTCGTCGGAAGGGATCACGTAATCGAATAAGTATGTATATTTAACAAGGCACTTGTTTTAATCCACACCTATTTCGGGGTAGTTTGACTTAGTTTTTAAAAAATGTATACAGATACTGCCAGAACTCTAAATCATTTCGTCAAACAACATATTCGGAGGGCTTTTAAAGTAGAGACAATGGACAGATAAATCACAGCATTCATATTAATACTTTTAACTAATACCATGTAATCTTAAAAAGCTTTGATAGTTTAAAATGACTTATATAATCTGTATAATTCATTTGTTCCTCTTAATATATGTGTTATTTAAACAGCGTAATGAGAAGACGAAGATTATCTGAAACATGTGATGTATTCTATATGCAGTTAAGGAAGGTTGAACATGTACCTAAGTGGCTACAAAAACAAATGACCTCAATAGATCCGATTAGTGTAGGTGACAAACATCCATTTTCGTCTATCGCTAAACATATACTAGAAACTAACCATAGGATAGACATGAAAACAGCCTTCAAAGTACTAAATAAAAGTGGTCAGCACCAAGTGCTTCAATTTATTGAAGCTCTTGCCATCCGTAAATTTAAACCCCCTTTATGTATACAAAAACAATTCGTACTCACGTGGAACCTACCTTAGTAGTATTGATTTTAATTTTCATACCAAGAGTAAGGTTTTCCTTTTTTTTCTATCCCTTCCTATTCCTATGTTTCCTATTAACTTCATTTACCTTTCTCGTAAATTTTCACATAAATAGTTCGACAAGTCCATGTGTGATCAGATTGTTCGAAATGTATAGCGCTAATTACATTACGACATGTTTCAGATAATCTTCGTCTTCTCATTACGCTGTTTAAATTTATCAAAGGGACCAGTTGCTTTAAATATGTGTTATTACTTGTCATATGAACACTTCTCATTCGCTTAACTGTTTCATTCAGTGCTTCAAAACTTTTTCGGCAAAATTTAAAACATGTCCTCTAGATAGAAATTTCTGTTGTTTGGTTTTAAGCTAATTTTAATAAAGCCATCCTATTCCGGAATTGAGTAAACAGTATGTGACTGCGGAATGCTTTTAACAATGATTAGACCTATTGTATGTCTTGAATTGAACCCAACCACACAGTTGACGATAACTTCGTTCACATGACTTTAAAACATTCGCCTTTGTATATATTTGCTTTCAGTTAGTAGGGAGAGATAAAAGAGATTATCTTTAATTTATTCTTCAAAAAATATCATATTACTTTAAAATTCAGTAACTATTAAATTGGACTCTTCTCCTAGTCACCGATTCACTACGGTATTTAGACCATTTTCTAGAGTCGGCTGTCATACCACCGAAAATTCAAAATGTAGTCCACAAAATACTAAACTTATATTGCGTTATAACCTCAACTGGTTAACTAGTTCACTAGTTACTAGCCTGTCCTAAGCCCGGATAAAGAGGGAAGGTTGGGCCTAGGGCTAGCAACATTACCCGTAAAACCAATCCGACCACTTAAGAAACTTCAAAGCGCAGAGAAAATATCAAAATATAAAGAAACTTATTCCCCGCTGGAATCGGAGAGATGAAATGACCCTGGTTGGTGAAAGCCTTTGGAGGCCAGTCGCCCGGTGTATCTTCTCTCGATGAAAGCGAAAGTAAGTATGGGGACATGGAATGTCCGCACCATGTATGAACCTCCCAAGGCTGCCCAGATTGCAAACGAGATGAGAAAATATGGCATGGAAGTGCTTGGAATCTGAGAAGGCAAGTGGGATGGAGGTGAAATCTCCAAACCCTTAACTGGGGAGTCAATAATCTACTCCGATATTGTTACCCAGACGATATCCGCGGGCACACTGAGTTTTGGAGTGGCTATCATGATGTCTCCAAGATCATCGAAGGCTCTCAGGTAGTAGGAATCAGTCTTTTCCACGATCAGGATCATGACAGTAAGATTCAACTCAGAAGGAATGAAAGTCACAATCATTCAATGCTACGCACCTACAAATAATGCAGATCAAGAGAAGGAGGAATCCTACAGACAACTTCAATCAGTGACGGACAAGACCCCACCACAGTTGGCGACACCCAAATTTTAATGGATGGGGTGACATGAATGCCAAGCTCGGAGCAGACAACACAGGAAGAAAACTCATCATCGGTCGACAAGCACTTGGTGAAATGAATGAGAATGGAGAATTGTTTGGAGATTTCTGCGCATTCAGTGATTTGTTGATTGGAGGCAGTGTGTACAAACACTTTCAGGGATATTTACAGAGCGACATGGATTTCACCAGATACCGGGATACACTAAAATCGCATCGACTTCATTTCAATCTCAAAAAAGTGGAGACGCAGCCTACTGAATGCAAGATCAGATCAAGAAGAGGAACAGATGTAGGTTCACACCGCTCACTATCTTGTGCAAGGAACCTTCAAAATCAAGTTGAAAGCCTTAAAAGAAGTTGGTGGTAGACCACAGTTCAAGTCCAACACCCAAAAACTGATGGACAAAACTGTAAAGAACATCTTCACACCAGCCACCAGAACAAAATAGGAGACACTGAGCAACATCCATGAAAGATCGGGTGTGGAAGAACACTAGAACTCTTTGAAACCTATTTCGAAAGAAACCTGCATAACCGTACTAGGAAGGTAGAGGAAGCAAGATAAGACAAGGAATGGATCTCGACGGACACATGGAAGTTGATAGAAGAGAGGAAGATGGTGAAGCAGAAGATGAATCAGTGCAAGCATGCACAACTAAAAGAAGAACCGAGTACAACGTATAAAACACTGGACAAAAAGTGAAGAAGTGTGCACGGAAAGACAAAAGACACTCCTACGACACACTGGCAAGTAGAGCAGAACAGGCTACCGGCTGGTAGGAGAGACCGGACAACACAATATCAAATAACCAGGTTACTGTCAGCGATGGGAGAGGTTAAATCAGACGAAACCAATGAAAGATAGTGAAGGAAAGCTAGTTACAAAAGAGGAAAAAACAAAGAAAACAATGGGCTGACCACTTCGAAAAGCTCTTGAATCGACTACCATCTGGAAAGCGTCCAGAAATACCGCCAGCAGCACAGCCACAGAACTAACAGTGAACACAGGCCCTCTGACAAAAGCAGAAGTCCTGAATGACATAAAACTGCTGAAATCCAGGCGAGCAGCATGACCAGATGGAATTCCACCACAAGCACTAAAAACAGACGCAGAGACAACAGCCGAGGCTTTCAAAGAGGGAAAGGTACCCGCCGAGTGGAAGAAGGGTTACCTTGTCAAACTCTCAAAGAAGGGAGACATAAGCCTTTGAAGGAACCGGCGCAGAATCATGCTCCATCCCTGTACACCCGAAGCAAAATACTAAGCCGCATTGTCCTGGAGAGACTGAACAATGCGCTGGATTCCAAATTACGACCAGAACAGGCTGGCTGGATTCAGGAGGAACAAATCATCTCCAGATAAAATTGCAACACTACGCATCGTGATAGGACAGAGTATAGAATGGCAGTCAACTCTTTACCTCAACTTCATCCACTTTGAAAAGGCCTTCGACAGCGTCGACCAAGAAGTCATTTGGCAGCTGCTACTTCAACACTACGGAGTGACACTAGTCTTTATCAACCTTATTCAGCAGCTACATGACGATGCCACATGCCAAATGGTTGACAATGGAAAGCTCAATGACGCCTTTGAAGTGAAGACAGGAAGGAGTAAGACAAGGCTTCCTACTATCACCTATGATCTTCCTGATTGTGGTCGACTGGACCACGTAGCAAACCATGAGGAGCTGTGAGAAGACGGGCATACGCTGACTAGACCGATGAAAAGACCCCAGAAGAAGATTTGGATTTCACCGATGATGATTTATGTCTAATGTCTTGCACACAAACTCGAAGATCTACAGGCGAAAACTAACAAGTTGATAGAAGAGGCAGGGTAGTGAAGACAGGACTTAAAGTGAATGTAGAGAAGATGGAGGTGATGAAGATACCCAACCAACAACATCATCAACAAAAAGCACCGATCACCATTAACGGGAGAAACCTAAAGGAAGTAGTCTTCACCTTCCTAGGCAGCATCGTTTCAACTACAGGTGGCACAGACGAGGATGTCAAAACCAGGCTTTCACTAATCTGAAATCAGTGCGCAGATCTACTGCACTCAGCATAAAGTGTGAAGAAGATCCGGATTTTCACCACCAATTTGAAGTCAGTGCTGGCATATGGTTCAGAAACTTGGCAAGCCACAAAAATCACTTCTAACAAACTGTAGATATTCATCAAAAACTGCCACCCACGCTCACTCGATACTGAAGATCAGATGGCTAGAAAGAATAAGCAACAAGGAACACTTGCATGGCGACGAACAAACTAAGAACCTACTACCCGACAAAAATGCAGAAGGAGGTGGAGATGGATTGGGCATACACCGAGAAGGCCGACTGGGGACATCACGTGACATGCACTCGAGTGAAATCCAAATGGGAAAGGATGAGTTGGGTGTCCGAGGCGAGCGTGATATGGAGAAGATGGTGTGAAGAAGAAATGATAGCTTCTGGGCAGTCGTGGAGCGAGGTTCAAAAGACTGCAGATAACAGAGTGAAACGGAAGCGTGCCACTGAATCGCTATGTTCCACTAGGAACCCAAGGGAAGAAAAACAATGTTTTGCGTCATATGAATTCTATCTTTTCGTTAAAATCTTTAGGCCCGTTTTCAACGTAACAATTCACAAGCACATGTCACATCAAGAAAATTATAATTTCCATTAATATCAGTTTGAAATGGAAAGAATGATAATCTCTCTTGCTTACATTGACTTAAAAAGAGGGCATACTACAAAGACATTACACAACTTTAGCTAGAGGATCAAATTAAGATACATTAAGCTGCATAAAAGGTACTTCTTTCTAAGAGAAGGCTCGTTTTTCCAGTAGGCGTACTTTTCGTATTTATGGGCTAGATTTCTGGTTCCTCTCTACAAGTGGAAGAAGACAGAAGTTTGAATACTTCAGAATCCCAATTAATTTCAGAAATTTACATGATAACCTGGATGTGTAGGATACTTCTTGCGTCCATGGCATAACTTATACCCACTTTGGGAAAAGATTCTGAAGGAACGAATTTCCTAATATTTGAATTCACCTAGACTTGTGGCAAAGTACCTAGGTAGTTCCACTTCTTAAGTGGATCGATAATTTTTGTGTTAACAATCAGAAGAATAGTACGTCTAAACCAGGAAGAAACTTTAACCTGGTAATCAGTAGCGGATTACTGACAACAGTGATCTTTTAAACTTCACAAAATACATACTTTCAGGCATTTATTAAGATGAAAGTTGTTGATAGATAATTGTAGTGCACCTTTCTGGCACCAAAATATAACTAGGGCTAAAATAAATAGTTTAAATTAAATTAGCTAAATAAACCTCTAGCTTACATCCGGATGCTTAGGGTGTTTTTAACTTTTGTTTTAACGAGCATGCATCTGAGCAGGCTTGACACTATTTTGCGCTCCATTCTGCTGATTACCACGCACGTACTCCGAGTCCCTAGTTCAGCCTTACAATCCAGATAAGTTGATTAAACTCTTCCCCATTCATTATTATTACATTTACTTTAATTAAATACATCGCTCCTTCAAATATATTCCGTATCAGTTCTTTTGGTTTGTGTTTTGTTATCAGCACTTACACGTTAGGTAAAGTACTGGTTAGGCAGGTACTAGAGTACATCAAGTTAAGTAGGGTTGATCAAACGTTACGCAATTGTACACGCACCCCTGCCTAATCATCGTTCAAAGTGTCTTACAGCTCCAAACCAGCTACAGGCAAGTTAATAATTGCTCTTGTCTCACAGACTATCACTCTTTTCATGATTTGGCCTTTTATAAAACTTAAATTCTCACCAGATGTTTAAAGCAGTCTGTTGAAAGCAAGCCTGAACAACCTGATCCAAAAGTTTGGAGACCAATTTTCATATTGACGCCATTAACTTTGAGTTTGTGTTACTTCTCATAAGTGGTGTTGTAGCGAAGAATAGCTCCCCCAAACCAATAGACTGGGGTTTAACGAGATTCAACACTGATTCTGACTTTCACGATTTTAGCAAACTGGAGAGGCTGAAATCACATAGTCAAGCAACCACAACATTTGGGATATTGTTGTAAAACACTGCGCTGCTAATAAGCAATTCTCAAACCAGTCAGTCAGAATTCATCGGTATTTTAGCATAGCTTATCAAATACATTCTTCTTGCCCAGCTAATCAAAACAGGTCCTTTTATGGACACGCACCCGTGTGTATTCTATGAGTACGAAGAACTATGGATTAGCCTCTGCGTCCGTTGAGTTCGCCCAAGGAAAACACCTAAAATATTACTTGACATAAATGTGAAATTCATAGGTTTGTTCATAGGACTGCAGGTTCTGTTACTAGTATTTAGACCTACTAAAAGGCTGAAAACCAGCATAACTAGAATACTGTTATTGAGGTAAACCAAAAACATTCAAATCGAAATAACGTAGTATTTTGAGAAAGTAACTAAAACAACTTGAATGCTAAAGACTACTTTTCAAGGAAATTAACAATAGAAATGTATTGTTAAATTGAACATACTGATGTTGAATATCGAAGGCATAGCTTTGAACTAAGGGCCAGTCTTCTATCATTAATTTGTTGAAGGACTTAACCTTACGACCTAAATTCACCTGTTATATACGCCTCAATTAGTTACCATGAGCATCTGCATAAGGAATGATGATCCGTTTCGAAGAAGATATGGTGCGCTCAAAAGCGACAACCTTCATTTCCTCATGCCTGTTAAAATCACTCATCTAAAAAATTGTCAAAGGATATATATTGCCCATGAATCGGATCCTACATCATCCTCATTGACAAAATGTATGCGTAAGTTTGGCCAGTGACTAACATAAGGCAGAATTAATGAAAAACTGGCGAAATTGCAGTATAAAACAACTTCAGTTGAACGTATGCATAGGAACATATCTGTAATGGGAACAATAAATGCTAATTACTTACCTTCAAAGACGTCTAGTTCAAGTTTACTTCTCCTGAGTTCGTCATAATTAACCTCGAATACGTTGAACATCAGATAAGAAACGGCCTTTATTGAGCCTCTGTTGAAACGAGAATCTACTCCTGATATAGTGATAAAAATTTTAAGCAATTCTGATTAACACAAACCAAGAACAACTAGTAAACTGTCACACTTATGCTTTTGCAGCATGCCTTTCAAGGCTTTCAGTCTCGACAAACTAATTTACAATACGGGAAAAATTAAAATGATTTTTACCTGGTTAAAGACGAAAACAATAACTGTCTTATGGAACGTTTAGAAAAACCCAACTTTTGATGTGCAGAAAACTGCATTTTCGAAAAATGCAATGAGGGTTCACTATAACAACCAAACTGAACCAGTTATAACAAATTTGCGATATAGTCGATCTATTAACTTCTGAAGCGCTCCAAATTTTACTCCTTCTCCTTGGTATCTTGTATAATCTTACTAATAATAACGTATTTTTTAGAGATAATAATTTAGACTTTCTGAAATGACTCACATTTATCGCATAATACATTTTCAACAACTCCACTCCCAACATCAGTGGTGCGAGCGGAGGAAAGTTTTTCATTCTGAGTTCTAACGTCTTAGTCCTGAGGCTCCATTTTCAGTTCCGTTACACCTCTTCGGTGGTCGCCAAAGTCTGTAGGTTTTCCTGCTTTGGAGGTATCTACTGTCTGTTTGAGCAATATTTTGCGTGACATTCCTGTTTCCATAGCCTTATTGTGCTTTTCATTTTGCATAGTTTCCTTCAATATCTAAAAATGTGTTGTAAAGCACTAAACGCCTTTTGGCTAGCTTCTTGCTGAAATGTGACAGTGAGCCTCTAAAGCGAATACTGGTCCCACTACCCTATTCGTCTAACTAAAGTAGACTGAACAAGAAAAGAAATGCATATTCCGGTACTAGATATTAGTTTATTCGGGATTCGGAGCACGTTGTCACCTGACAGTCATTCACATCTGAACATTCAAATTGGCCAGATACCCGGATTTTTAGAAACTGACCAACAAATCCCACTAATGTGTTCTAGGGAGCAGACTAAATATCCAGCAACACTCAATTGACTGTGGTAAATAAATAAATATTTTATTCTCAGATTAACAGTTTAACACGAGAGAAGCCAGTTTGCAGTCATCATCAAATTGATAATGGTAAAGACATCTCCAGCAGTTGAGCTGTCCTGAATAGTAAAGAAGGTATCGCATCATGGTCTATCATGACATCAAAAGTGACCACAGGTTATAAAAAGAACAGAAAAATATCACCACATAGAACATACAGATTGTTTCTGAGTTTCGGTTGTCTCCATTCAACATTCTTTTTTCACAATAAAGTGATACCAAAATCGTACAATGTTCGACGTTTGCGTTACATGTGACCTACATGGTTAACCTGGAGGTATAGTTTCGTGTTTCGTCAAATTGACGTTCATTTTGACATCAGTGCACATGTTTATAGTATCGTTGGCCAACGAAAACTCACTTCATCGATTTCAGGTAACAGTAAGTGTTAACATGACCGTATAATCCACGTGAGTATATAAGTCTTCTCATTTCCAACTCGCAGTGTGACCCTACTGAGCAGTACAGATGTAATGCATCAGAATTAGTTTTTCCTGTACAAAGAAATAAACACCTGAAGGACTACTATCCAATGGTGATGGAGGTTTGCACATAGAATTCACCTCGAAGCATACAGCATAATCAAGGTTTCCTGACTGTTAATTGTCTTCCATAAAACGAAGTCAAATGAAGTGAAGTATTTGAGTCACTAGGTGAGTCCATTTCTTGGATTTAGTTGTCTGTCCAGGTTTTCGCCACCGTTATGACCATCCAGCAGCCTTAAATCATTTATCGTAGTTGGGTTTTCGTACATGGTTGCATCTAGGCTGTTGGTATTTGGACGAGTTTGCTGCGGAACGTTTCATAAAGTTGAAAATCAATAGGGGAAGACTGGATGAAGGATTCTTCCAAGTTTCTGGTACCAAGTATGAAGAGGTATATTCGGTAGGTTGACGATTTTGGTCAAAATTACGCTCAAGGTTTTCTCTTCAAACTTCAGCTGAAAAGAGAAGGAGAAAAGGAAAGCACGAGCAGAAACCGGAGAATGATACACCACACAAGACGAAATTGGGGAGAGAGAAGTTCCTATCTTTGAGACGCTCCAGCCATACGTACACCTTAATTTATGCATATAAAAAAGACTTTTGATTTTCCTACGTAAGATACACACAAGTTTTTGCATATACCGTGTTTATTTGTAGACGTACGGGTAAAACTGACTCTACATCAAGGTGGTACATACTTTGCTGACTACACAACATAAGCTAGTGGAATAACAGTCAAAGGCCCCGTGCAATAATGTTAGGGCCCATTAAGAATATATATATATACTTGGGATTGATGTTAGCCTTAATTTACACGTTTAGGGGTCCTAGTATGTAGCCCAGAACGTATATATAGTGACCAAACGAGTGATAAACTCGTCATCTGGGGGGAGCTTATTAAGTGAGGAACGAAAGACAGATAATGAACCCGCAGTATGTATTTCCTCAGGAAGTCTGTTCCAAATGTTAGGGAACTCATTGAGGAAGAAGTTTCGACGCAATTTAATCTTACAACACCTACTTTCAGCTAACAGATTGTGACTACATAAATGGTGAGTAGATGTTACAACTATTTTAATTTTCGGACCACATGAGTGCACTTTCTCACGAAGTGATTTATGGTAAAATATAATAATAATAATAATAATAATAATATATTTCATGCGACAAAGGTTACATGAATACAAACCAGTTTACAGGTTTGATCACTTTGGTAATGGGAGATGACTATTATGTACAATGTTATGCTATACATTAGATGCTGTGATTTATGGCATATAGGAGGCATGTTGAAGCAGGCTCAGTTCGAATTTGAAGATTATCCGGTCATCGTTTGAATCATCCAATATTCTTGAAGGTGAGGCCGCATCACAGTCATGACCTTGGGGTGTGCGCGTTCGTCATCAGGTTTCGGTGCCAATATTTCCCACTGACGAATGCGATTTGTAGGATTCCATTTGAATGCAGGACTGGTTAAGTAAATCTGAAAAGTGAATAACAAAAGCGAGCAGCAGGCGAAATTTGTAACAGGGCACAAAAATACGCAGGAGTAGATCGACCATGATACATCTGGGTGAGTTTGTACTGACTATTAAACTTACTTGAGGAAGTGTCCAGAACCAACTGTTTAGAGGTAAGCTTAGGTGGAAGAAGATGAAGGTGCGCACGACAGTAATGAAAGTCAGCCTGAAGCTGAAGATATCACTACGAAATAGAAAGATTAGAGGATATTTGACCAGGTATTAACTTGTTATATACCTATGTACAAGCGTATGATGAAGTTATAAACATTTAGGTGAAATTCGTGGTTTTTTTTTGTTCTTCGGACCACCACCCTTTATCTGGTCACGAGGGGAATGATCATGGTGTTGCCTGTTGAGCATTACCATATCGGGTCTACCGAAACTATGTTGGTGCAGAGTACTTAGATGTAAGGGCAAATAATAAAGAGTTGCATGCTATGAAAATGCACCGACAGACAGTTCTTTTATCTTTTCGGAGTGGAGAGTTTACTTTAAGGGGCGATTTTTAGGAAATAGGTGTTAAGTCGTGAGATCGGTTAGGTTGTGAAGAAAAGTAGGTTACATTTGAGTATCTAATAAGTTCACTGTAGCATATCGTGTCGCACTCCGCTTCCTGTCCACTCTTGGTCATTTTTTTTTCTAAGAAATTAGATTTTAACTTAACTATTGCGTTTAGTTTTCGGCATTGTATACTTATGTCATTGCTGTTAGTCTCCCTTGAGTCTAGGTACCAGTAGTACCTTAGTGCATGGCATTACCGTTTGTGGTTTGGCCGTCAACGAATTGATGAGATTCGTTAGATAGGAGGAATTTACTAAGTAATCGTTGAAACTGGCCGAGCGAACGGCATGCTCGTATAGGAGCGGGAAGTTTGTTCCACAGCATACTGTATTGCGTTATGAAAAACCTACATCGAAGTTTTGAGCGATACTTATTTATTGGGATGATGTTCTCGCTATTACGCAGATTATATGCCTGTGTTGTTTTAAAAGTGACAGCACATTTCGTTTTAGGGTTTGTAAATAAAAGACGAAAAAGAAGTGTTAAGTTGAGCTTCAGGCGTCTCAGCCAGAGTGATTCTAGTCCTAGTTTTTTGCATCTTGCTTCGTAAGGAAGTCCTTCGTTATGTATTAGTAGGCGCCGAGTAAAGTTCCGTTGAATGTTCTCTACTCGAATTCTGTCCGACACATTCATGCTACCATAGATAACGGTGCAGTACTCTAACCTCGGAAGGAGCGAGGTATTCACTACATTGTGATTGGTATAGAGACTGTTGGTCAGGGTAGAGAGCAGATGATCCGACAGCATCCGAATCACCTGCATTACTGGTGGCGTTGCAGCCGTAGGCTGTCCGAAAAAACCCTGTTCATAAGAAGTAACGGGGATTGATAAGTTGTATGGCACACCTGTCCGCTGGTTGCCGTATGCATTTTGGTCATAGACAGATTCATATTCCCCTTGATTTTCTTTAGGGGATCTGTTGTAAGTTTGTCCTTGTGAAGCGTATGACCCACGTCTTTCGGCGTATGGGTGAGGCGGAAAGCATAGTCTGTGACTACCATTTTGCTCCCTATCCAATAACTGTGATCGTTGAGGGGTCCGGCGGTGATGTGTATCTGCTAGTGACCGCGGAAGTGTTAAGAAGTGTGGGTCGCCTGGAGAGTAGTTATTTGACTTGGTCATAGGATGACCTGAGAAATAACGTTTGGCATTTTCCCTAGTGTGACTTTGCGAGGGTGCAATGGTCTTTTGACTATTTGTATTGTTTTTTCGTCTATTGGTGAGACTGCTTGATTGCCTTTTCGGCAGTTTATTTAACCTGGGTAGGTGCATAGTGGGGTTTGTGTAAGAGTGTCTAGTGCTATCTGTACTCTTTATCATCTGCCTATTTGGTGCATATAAGTTTTGCACTGGCTGAGGTGAGGATAGATTTGACTGTTTACGCGCTAAGCTTGGGGGCGGTCCTATGATAACAGGGTGCTTGTGGCTGGTGCTGGGTATGTTTATAGGCTGAGTGACACCTGGTGATGACATAATAACGTTTTCAGTAATTTGATGGGTCGATAGCGTAGCACTTGGTTTGGGGGTGACCTGTGTGACGGGGTAAGACGGGGACTGGCTTTCCACTTCTGTAGACAGTGAGACCACCTTTAGGAGATCGTGTGCCTGTTTTTGA